TCTGCCATCAAGGGTCCTTGTGGGGCCAAGTGGGGCCTTGTATCCCATGCCACTTCTCTTGGCATGTCTCCCTGTCTCTCAGTGACACCCCCGCTAGGCATCTCAGGGGTGTTGCAGGAGGCTAGGTAGTTCTCCATAAGATGCATAGCATTCTTCAGGGCCTCAGGTAGATGCCTTAACACCAGGCCTGTCCTCCCACCAGTAAAATCTGGGTGAATTGTTCTATGAATAAGAGCTCTGCCACCTATACACCCATCTGGCACTCTGGTTTCAACTACAGCCAGCAGTGAGCTTTTAACTTCTGGGCTACCATCCATGGGCATGCACCTAAAGGGCACACCTCCTTGAACTGCCACCGGTGGGTCTCCTCAGTGATGTCTAAATAATCAAGGATTGCCTCTCTTACCTTTGCATAGCCAAAAGTCAAGTTCCTGGTAGGCAGTGTGAGCTGGTCCCAAGAAATGGAGCACCACTAGCATGGCCCAATTTTTCAGGGCTCATCCCGCAGCAGATGCTACCCACTCAAAGGTAGCGAGGAATGCCTCAGGGTCATCGTTTGGGCCCATCTTGGCCAGTTTCACTGGGATGGGCGTCGTGCTGGTGGGGGAGTGGGGGAAGTTAGTGTTTGCTGCCACCCCGGTTGCTCCTTGAAGCTGGAGCGCAGCAAGCATCTGCTGTACCAGGTTCTGTTGCTACTCTGGTTGGTGCTTGACTAATTCCCTTCAGCTGCTGTGGCTGTTGTTGCTGTAGGGTGGCTTGCTGCTGCTGATTGTCAGTGACCCATTTTAACAGCTGTTCTAGATCCATCTCTCTTGGGGTTCCTTATGTTTGTTTTAAATCTGCTGCCTATTAATTTCACTTATCTTAAAAAGTGTAACTCAGACGAAAGTTACTTTCTTCTGCAAATGTATGCAGTGAATACCTGATGGTGGAGAAAGGTTTGATCAGCACTCATTTGGGATGACCTGTATAATGTCATTGTCAGTTGTGAGTAGTGTGGCTATACTGCACAGAGGCTGTTTCGTAAATATTTCCCCTAACGCTATTTCCATGTGTAATGCACACAATCTCAAAATAAGTTTTTATTTTAGAGGTTACCATTGGTGCATCACAGGATGGGTTAAACAAAAGTTTTATGTGTTCTAGCATCCAAGCAGCAGAGGGTGCAATGTGATAGGTTACTTGGAATAGGAGAGAAGCCAGAAGGCAGCTGAGTGGGTAGCAACTGTCTTTTGTAGTTTGCTTCTTACTCTTAAGTGTTTGTAAGTTATGTGAGCTATTTCACCCAGAAGTAAAGGTTACTTACTCCTGGATGCCCCTATTGTCTTGCCTCTCCCCTACGCTGGATTGCACCTAAGCTTCCCTCCCATGATCTCTAATCATCTCTCACCAACCTGATAGCACCAACTCATGCAAACCTTCCCCAATCTGCCCAGGGCCTGAGACTTTCCTTTCCCCTCCCTGTTTCCAGCCTCCACCATGTCACAACACTTCCTCAACCCAGGTATAACCCAGACTCCCTACCAACCCTCTTCAGCCCACCCTCATCTTGATTCTTGCCTCAACCCTGTCCAACTCCCCTATAAGTATAGGACTACTCCCCCAGCCATGGCCCCAATGGGGAGTCTAAAATATATAGGGGTCACCATTACCCTCTTCCCTTAGTTTTCTAATTTTTTTTGTCTGAGCCTAGCTGAGGCAGAATCCCCTACCAACATCACATTTCACTTCTGCAAAAGTCCATGACAGGGAGAAGTGCAAAGGGTTACATTATGGGTGCATTCAAGGTTTTAGTTTACAAGACTACAGGAACATGGATGTGGGTACGGAGCTCTCACCCACACTACAGGCACATAACTGTCTGAGTAGCTAACAAATAAGTAGATTAGGTTTTAGAAACACCACCTTAGGGAGTCTGCAAGGATCCCCAGTAGGGATAGGCACTAATGCACTCCAGCACCTTAATGTAGTGAGCAACTAACCCCTTCCTGAACCAGCTCAACAATTATCGGCCTAGAATATTATTTCACAGATATTATGAATTGGGTGCTCAACTCCCTTAGGCCACTTTGAAAATCCCAGCCTTAATCACCTATATTTTAAGCACATAAATGATTGCTGAGCTAGTGTCTTTCTCTTCCCCAAAACACTAAGATGAATAGGGCCAGTGCCCAGTTCTACCAGACACCTTTGCAGCCATCCTAAGGCCTGCAGGTATGCTGGAGGTACTTAGGTGCAGCTAGGGGCACTCGAACATGGGGAAATTTTTATACCCTATTGCGATCCTTTCACTTCTATCTTTGTAGAAACTATTTGGCCTCCAGCTAATCCAGGTGAGCACCAAAACATTTGCAGTTTTAAACACTGTATTTCATACAGCAGTGGGGGAGGGTAGAGAGAATTTTTTTTAAAATAGGAAAATATGGTTGTAGAACTAAAATAAGAAAATGGTTGGTATAGTAGTTGAGGGGGGGAGGGATAGCTCAGTGGTTTGAGCATTGGCCTGCTAAACCCAGGGTTGTGAGTTCAATCCTTGAGGGGGCCATTTAGGGATTGGGGGCAAAAATTGGGGATTGGTCCTGCTTTGAGCAAGGGGGTTGGACTAGATGACCTCCCTTCCAACCCTGATAGTACCTGAAACAACTACTCACTTATTTATAAAACCAATTAGAGTTCAAGCTGGCAGTGACCCTTTAGTCATTTCATTCAGATCCTTAGGCTCAAAGGGCCATAATTTCAGCAGCCTGAACTTGGACTCCATTTGTTGACATGTGGACTAATAAAGAACACATTTTGAAGCTTGGGCCTTTAGTCTTCTTCAGCTGTCCAGAAACAAGGCTGGAAAGGGGTTCCTTTTTTTGGTATCAGATTGTGGGGTTACAGCTCTCCGCCCTTCCCCCTCCTCAGCCTGTTCTAGTTTGATCTCTCTCTTTGGATTCCACATTGTTCAGTGAGGCGGCTCACCTCTCCAGTGGGACTTCCACTCTGCTTACAGAAAGCTTTGTTCTGTAAACCTTCTGCAAAGCTACCTTCACACGATAGCTGTTAGCAAAGCCCATCTGACCACTTGCGCTGTCTTCTCTGGTTGTCCTTATGCGTTCTATGCTGCTGTCTGTCTCTGAAACGCCATCCTAATCTCAGACACCAGAAATGCTAATCCAGTCAGAATTTCAGTCCAGCTCTGTCAGGAAAGTACCGCCATCCACCAAAGACAGTAAATTCCTCGGGGTAGGGACTGTAGCATCTCTTGTGTCTTGTATGGTGCTGAGGGTCCTGTTAGTGCTTAACAAAACATTCTCCTCCTAATAATCTAGAGAACAATTTTTTAACTAGTTTCCTGGTTTGACTTCTGCATATGTATTCAAGAAAGTAAAAGCTCCTGCCAATAGCAGATTCAACAGCTTGTAGCCAGCCAGGACACAATTGCCCTTTGGAACCAGGGTAATTGGGTCCGCCGTCTTTTTCCTTCATCAGTGCTCAGCAAAAATCCTATCTGGCTGCTGCTGTCGGATACAGAGAGTGGGCGAGATGCAAATCCCTGTGCTCCCTCCCTACTTTGTGCACCCACTCTACACCAGGTGGCATTCGGCCATGAAGCTCTTTAATATTTTAACAAAAGACAACAATCCATTATTACTTGTTATCAATAGTGTCACACCAGGATGCCTAGTGCTTCTGGATTGTCTGTAGATGTTACAGAACAGAGATGTTGAACTGAAGAGTTGAGTAGGCAAACATATCAATAAGCTATTTCTATATGGTCTTGGAATACAGCAAATAAATATCTCATTGCAACAAACAGGCAAAGACAGACAAATGAAACTATGCAAATGTATTGCATGCTTAGCTCAGAAAGAGAAAGGCAACTTCCTCACTGATTAGACTAAATGCCAGAAAGAGCAGAAAAGACTTTGTGTGTGTGTGTATGTGTGTGTGTGTGCGCACGCACGTGCGCCCAGAGATAAGATAATTTAAAATGCCATTTCATTTCACAGTTGAGTGGGGTGTGCATGATCAAACAATGATGTATTTTGCTATCTGGAGTAAAGAAAATATGATTTTATTTCCTAGATCTAATGTTGCATCTGATTGCATATTCCCATTCTTGTATAATTAATTTAATCCAAGAATTAGCAAAGAAGGACAGACCCTGGGTTATATCACATTTATAGTTTATAGGAAAAGGTGAGCATTAATTGGCGCTTAATGCATTACATTTTGTTTTACTGCTACACCATTAACTGTACTCAAGCAGGCTTCCAATGACTGTTTCAGTGTATTTCTCAAACAGGTAATTTAGCACAACCAAATATGGGCCTGGATGTAGCTAGATATTTTAGCAGAAGTGCTGTATCTTGCTATTTAAAAAAAAATATATTTTTTTGCTTAAGAAGCCAGGTAATTAACAATGCATATACTGGGTACAAATATCTATTGATGCACTTAAGCAAGGAACTTTACTCATTCAATGTTTTCTTTTGGAACACTGGACATGCTTTATTTCAATTTTTTCACAATTTATTTAAACATCTCACATATACAAAATAGGTACAATTTTTTTGAGAAATGATGCTTTCTTTTTACCCATCGTAGAGGATGAAAATGAGATTTAAAGCATGAGCACCTGAATTTGGAGGGAGAGGTTGAAGATGGGGCCGGGGGAGAGAAATGATCCACATGCTTAATCTGGGGGTAAGATGGGACATTCTGACTAAAGTTTTGAGACAGATTTCAAAGAAACAATACAACTTAATACAGAAAAGTGGTATTTCAAATGCTGCTAGCACCAACAAAGTTCAAGTATTGGAAAGATCCTCTATCATACTGAAATTAGCACCTTTGTATTACGAATGGAACTAAAAGCACCTCAGATCATTTGGAGAAGTACCTACTGTGGATGTGGATCACACTTGGCTTTAAGTGTATGAGGTAGTTTAAACCTTTGGAAGTTGTGGTTTTAAACTTCCTCTGTGGAAGATATTCAAAGGCCACAAGTGGTGCAAACTTTCATGATTTTTTATTTTGTTTTTTTTACAAAGGCTGACATTTCCCAAAACAAGGTGTTAAAATCTTGAAAGACTTCTGAGTCCTTTTGGGGCTGTATTAAATTGCATTGCACAACGCTTCAATCAATCCTTCTCCTTCTCTTTTGCCCAGAGTTTAAGCAAGTAGATGAACAGAAGAAATGGAAGGAGTCAGCTTTCAGTATAAAAAAAGAAATGGCAAAGAGAGATTTTTTTTTTTTTGATTTTAAGTTAGTTTGAGTTCATTCATTTGAAACAGACTGGGCCAATGTCCAAACCGAATTCTTGGTCAGCGCCACCAATGTCCAAAAGTGCAATGTCAAGGACGGGCAAGCGAGATGGCTTATTCGTTCTGTATTCAATGATTGTTTTGCCCCATTCATTGGTCTTTCTCTGTAAGATAATAACAGTGATAGTTAGAAGAGTTATTATGCTGTTTACGGTACCAACATTTCTTCCAGTGAATTTAATCTCTTCTGAAATCTGCTGCAACTAATTTTGCTAGCACAAGTCATCAGTTAGATGCCCACCTACAGATCTTTCATATAAAGAAACATATTTATTTTAATCTTTTAACTTAACATAGCAGCTGATCACTCAGAATAGCAGATTCTGTGTTCTGGCTTTAATATAGTAATATATGCACTAGGGATCAAATCCTCATAGGAAGGGGGAGGGATAGCTCAGTGGTTTGAGCATTGGCCTGCTAAACCCAGGGTTGTGAGTTCAATCCTTGAGGGGGCCATTTAGGGATCTGGGACAAAAATTGGGGATTGGCCCTGCTTTGAGCAGGGGGTTAGACTAGATATTCAATGATTCTATGACACTGCCATGGTTGTTGAGCTCCAAGAACTGAATGGAGGGCTGAATAACAGGATTCTCAGCTCCTGCCCGCAGCAGCTAGTATGGAGATGCTTTCCAGTGGCTATGGAGGAGTAGCAGGTGTAGGATTTTGGACTACCGGATATGCTGCATGTGTGGACTTTTGCCACTTCTCCAGTTTGCACATCATTCCTTCTGTTCTCTGGATTAGACAGCTGCATGCAGCTTTCTCTTTGGCATGTAGAGGGGTGAAATGCCTATAAGGTGCTCTCCACCTTTCGGCTCCCCTGTACAGTGAAAGTGTGATATTTCTGTGTTTTGGCCTGTGCACACTTATCGAGAGAGCTGTAGGATTCAACACTAGAGACTAACTATCTTTGACACAATATGAATTTTAATGACTAATGTCCTGCAGAGGAGATTGGTAATCTAGCTCTATATCCATATCCAACTCTACCACTAGAGTAAACAGGAAACCATGAGTCCAGTAGTACTTACAGAGCAGCCATCCTCAAGAACACTGAAAGTGAACCTGCTGTTGCCTTCAGCTCGTAGTTCAACATCATTGGATCCCTGCAGTATAACAGCCTTCTTAAGGTTGCCAGTTTCCACATCCATGTATGCAATGCTGTTCTTACAGTGGTAGGTGATGTTCTGGGAGGCATGGTTGGCCAGCAGACGCATGAAGGCAAGTTGGGTGGCCATATCCTTGGAGGTCACGCCTTCCTCGTTGTATTCAAACTAAAAACAGGAAGGAAGAACTCTAAATCAAATATTCATTGAAATGTAATGGGATATAATATGCTCACAGGATGTGTGTGCGTGTGTCTGAAGTGAACAGGGATGCTAGGAATGTGAAAATCATGGAATTCAGGAGGTTGTGATCTTGAGCACTTTGAGATTTCACCACAAGACCAAAAACTACTCAGTTAAAAAAATAACCGAATTAGAGCTATGTAACTGAACAAACGGAATTATTTACAGTTGGGGGTTGAGTGTCTGTTTTTTTCATTATATTACTGGAAATTATAAATGTAAACATCCACGGTGGGCATCTCTCTTCCTTTAATTATGGCAGTGTGAAGTGTTATGATGGCATAACTTTAGGAGGACTCCACTGACGTGTTTCTATTGTAAAGGTCTTCCCAAGCATGTCCAATATAAGTCAGAGCAACATGTTAAAGATAAATTGACTGCAAATTATAAACTTTGCAAAAATGTAAGAGAAGTCCTGCATGGATTTTTGATACATATTCCTATTCAGTGCCTGTATCCCCATACTGACTTGGAACATGCCAGATATACCAGTCCCAGACTTCCCTTGAGCTATGACTAGTAAACATGTTAAGTTTGTGATAAACTGTGTTGTGATTCTGTGATGTTCCCAAAGGGAAAGCAGGATGATTCCAACAAACCCATTTTGCAATTGTGACCAAAACCAGACTTTGAATTCTGCTCTCCAAAGATGAAAGGTTAGTCCATTGCCTCCTATCCCTCCGCTAGGAGAGAGTTTTCATTAGTCTGTGCTTTTGAAAAGGGTTACTGCGCAGGCAACTCTTTAGACAGCACTGTAGGTAACAAATTCACTCGAGTTTGCACTGTTTGGCCACTCACCTGTGTACCACCATTGATAGTTTCGCCAAACCACACATGCTTCTTGTCCCTGGGGTTCTTGTTGACATACCAGTTCTTAGTGGGGATGTTTTCTGGATTAGCATTGATGCAAGTCTCACCAGTGGAGAAGTCACAGTACACTCTGATGGCATCCATGATGCACCCCTGGTTGGGATCAATCCAGTAGAAACCTGTCATTGAAAAAAAAACCCTGGTCACTAATTCAGCCTCATGCAGGCACTCAGCTACTATGGTAATGGGCATGGCATAAATACCCAAAGGGATAACATAGATACTATAGTTGTGTACATTATTACATTGGCGACCTGCAAACCACAAGAAATCTGTACTTGAATATTGCTAATGTGTGACATTGCATTACTTTCGAAAGCTGAGCATACATAATTATATTGATTTTGTGGTGAGGATTGCACCACAGTGAACAATGAAGGGAAACTCTTCAGGGTGAGCTTGTGTAATTGTGCTGTCAGTAGAGGTAGGGGTTATTGTTTCATTGGTGATTTATTAGGTTAATAATATCCACTGCCTGTCCAGAGTGTTAAGAGTGAAATTTACCCCCTGGCCAATGGCCAGCACAAGTACTATACACCACTTCAATACCACTAATTGGGCTTAAGAAGACTTAAAGTTTATATGCCTTGTGCTGGCTCTCAGCACAGGGGTAAATTTCACCCTTAAAAGAATAAAACTGCTGACACCAGGCCCTAGTCAATCAGGAAACCACATTGAAAGCAAGCTACTAAGCTGAATACAACCAGAGAGCCAGAAGAGGCATCCATCTAGCATTAACATACCACTGGTCCATTCTGGGTGGCTGAGTCTTAAGTCACGGCAGGTGCGGGCTGGGTTCTTCCTGGAGCCTTCTGGGGTCAGGAGGGTCTCAATTTGGTTGTTCAGTGATTTCAAAGTGGCATCAACTTCATAGTCCTTAGGTCTGAGAGATGGCTGATCAGCCCGGTAGTATTCAGCATCATAGCCAATTTCATATCCACCACCATTGGGACCAGGTGGGCCAGGGTGACCAGGTGGACCGGGTGGACCCTAAAGAGGTTCAATGTAAGAAGACAAAGAGCATCCCATTATATAAGTCTGGGCATTGCACTGATGTGCACACTACACCCAATTACTTGCATGAATAACCCTAATCTAAGGCACAGGATCCTCAGCTCCAGTCTCGAATAGCTGGTAGGGAACTGCTTTGTGATGGGTATTTCAGAGTAAAAGGGTAACAGATGCAAGATTTAGGGCCACTGCATCTTCTTTGTGCAAGTACTCACTGGCTACAAGCAGTAAGCACTCATCAGCTTGAATAAGGACTCTGCAATTAGGTCTAAGGTTGGTATTCTCGTATAAAGAGAGAGAACTTAAATGAACAGCTGGTTCAGTCTTCTCATCTTAGCCCCATATTTAATTTACATGACTATTTTATTTAAATGTTTGAATGGCTCACCAAAAATGTGAGGGCCAGGATCAGTCATATAGTCAGACTGGAATAGGAATAATAATCATCATCATCATCATGATGATATCACTTTTCATTTATATAGTGCTCAATAATCTGAGGGTTTCAAAGTGCTTTTCAAATTAAGACCAATATAGTTATCCCTATTTTACAGCTGGGGAAACTGAGGCACAAAAAGATTAAGTGACTTGCCCAAAGTCACAAAACACGTCAATGGCAGAACCAAGACTAGAACTCAGCTCTCCAGAATCCTAGTTCTGTGCTTTCATCTGTAGGCCCCCATAAGCAGTTGTACTGTAGCTGTCTTTAATACTATCCTGTAACAAATCTTAATTTTGTAGGGAAACATGTTAGAATGTGAAATAAAAAGTCTTCCACTGTTTGAGGAAAAAAGTAACGTAGAAATCTCTTCCATTTCCTCTTCTTAACTCCCCACCACCAACCACTGGGGCTATTAAGTGATGATTTCAGCTTGTGCCCTTAATTTATCACAAAAAAAAAAATCAAACTTACACTAGGACCTTGGCTACCCTGAGAACCACGCACACCAGCAGGTCCAATAGGACCAGGAAGTCCATTGCGACCATCTTTACCATGAGGACCAGAAGGACCAGCAGGACCCTACAACAGAACAACAACTTCTTAATGGAAGTAAACAATACAAGAGAAATAGGAATATAATTTTAAAAAGTCACAGGCATTGGAGAGGGTTACTTGCCCTTTCCTTATTCCAAATGAATAGAGAGTATTCACTTAAATTCCCATACCCTTGGACCAGCAGGGCCGGTGGAACCAGGAGCACCTTGATCTCCGTGGTGGCCCTATTGGAAAAAAGAAAAATCACATCCAGATTAAAAACACTGATACACAGTTATATTAATATGATACTGGTCAGCCATGCCCCAAGGCTTGGAGTTCTGAGACTGGAAAGCTGGTGCCGACCCTGTTCCCTTAGTGAAGTACCGTCAGAGTTAAAGTAGCTGTTGTTGGAGGCATGGGGAGGAAAAGGCCCCATACAATCAACTAGAATCTAAGGAAGATGTTTTAAGACAATAACATTCCTCTATATAAATAAAAGAGGTTTTTATTTAAAGGTCAAAATCTTAAAAGGAATGTCACATTTTTAAAGAGAATGCAATCTATATGAGGATCTTCCATTTTTCCGTGCTAAAGTATTACAACATTGTAACAGAAATGGGTAAATATTGTATTATAATAAAATGAATATGCTTTTAAATATAATGTTGGCCACATTTCAAAACCAATCTCTAAAATTGTGTCTCTATGTTTCAAGTGTGCTGTATGACATTCATAGGAATAGTTTTAGAAGCCTTTTAAAAATTTGATATTTTATGTGGATGGCAACAAACACTAAACTATGTAGGCATATTTCACAGCCTTTGAAAGATTTGTGGGGCGGTGTCAGCCTACAGAGTTGCACATATGAATCTTTATACATTGTGGTAATTTTATTTATTTCTGTTGTGCTCCCCATTCTAAATTATTACAAATGTTTACTCACAGCAAGACCGGGCAGACCCTGCAATCCATTGTGTCCCTTAAAGCCAGGCATGCCTCTAGGTCCTTTATCACCTGGCACACCTTTCTCACCACGTGGACCTTGTGGGCCCTGGAGAAGAAAAACACATCAAAAGAAAAAAAGAAACATAAAATGGAATGTTTTGAAATGTTTTCGAGACATAGTTAGCCAACGTGAAAATGAATCATGAGTAGTCTACGTATGTCATATTCTCGTCGTGAAACATGCATATAGATTCTGTTAACACATGTGGAATCTGCTCAAGGGAGTGTGGATTAGTCCCATGGGAGGGAGATACAGATCTAGATTTGAACAATTCTAGGTATATAATATTTTCAAACCCATAATACTCCTCTCTGGACTCTATTGCCCAAGATTGGGTCCTTAATGAGCAATGAAGTATACATTTTTCATTTCTTACTTAAACTTTTTTGCTGAGAGATTAAAAAAAATTACGTACAGCAAGACCTCTTGCACCAGCAGGACCAACAGAACCAGTAACACCAACGGGACCCTGAAACACGCACATAAAATACATGTAAGCTATAACATCATATTAATGGAAAAGCTCAGTGCCCTGTGTATACTTGTTGCCAGGACAAGTGAGCAGTAAGTGTTCCAAGGTTAATAGCTGTGTTCTGGACTAGCAAGTGTTTTAAGTAATATGAGCAATTAAAGTCTGATCTTACAGGTTCACCACGATTTCCAGGCTTTCCGGAAGGACCAACTGCACCATGTGGACCAGGGGCACCAGCAGCACCAGCGAGACCATTGTTGCCAGGATAACCACGCTCACCCTAAAGACAAGGGAAGGTGAGAGGAAGCAGAGAGTGTATCAATACTGGCTTCTTATAAGGATCGACAAATATCTGCCACAAGTATGAAACAAAGGAGAAAAGCTTACCTTGAAACCAGGAGCACCATCACGGCCTGGAGGACCATCATTACCAGGATTGCCCTGTTAAAACAGCATAAGAAACCAGTCACCCAAATATCAACAGAGATCTGTGCATCCAGTTGCAGTTCCTTGTGTATATGAAACTTATCAGACATTTAAAAAAAAAAAAAGACAGCACAAATCTTGACAAACAAAAACAACCAATCAACCAACCAAAGCCTACAAGGAAACTTCACATATTATATTTGCTACCTACTTTCTGGATGGATACAAGTTGTACATTTGTACGTGCCGTATAAAGGCCATCCTCAGATATTTCAAATCTGTTTAAGTCGTATAAAAGATTGGATAGAATTCAAATATTTTAGAAGGCAGGGACCAGATTCCGTAGAAGAAGAAAATTGTTTTTCATCTCCATCCTCTAAAATGATCTTTACATCAATACAGCAGTAGCCGTCACTTAACAGGCACCCTAGCAAAGGGCACCCTGCGTACTTGAAAAAAGTGCCAGTGGTGGGGGCTGGCAAGGGGGTGGCGAAATCAACGTAATGCATTACACAGATTTCAGACAGTAGATTCAGGGCCCAATGACTCCATTTGTGGACTTCATTAGTGCCAACTCATGTTAGCAAGCATCAATTTCTTCCTCTGTGACCTTTTGGTTGATTTCAGCTGCTTCCCTGATGTTATGGATGCTTAACTAGTGTTCTCTTGATATGAACATCACAGAGCATGGAAGTTATTTATGTTTAAAGAAATTCATGCAATGAAGTGAATGTTCTCTGATCACATTGTGTTCCAGTGAGCATCTAATAACCTGAGGCATCGCTTAAACTTATAAATTAAGTTTCACCAGTTTGTACCAATCGAGGGGCTTGTTCTACAGTTATAGGGGGCAGAAATAATTTATTTATACTTTATTTTTACTCCCCAGATGATTAGATTATGCATGGTTGCTGTATGGCCGGGCATGGTTGGGCAAAGGGTTTCCTCTCTCAAGGATTTGATTCCCCCCAAGGGAAGGGAAAGAGGGCGGAGAGAAGGTGGAACAATAGCCCTCCCTTCCAGCTTGTAGAGCAAGGCCAGTACATCGGGGGAGCAGATGGCTCCCCTCGCACTCTCCCTAGTGCACAAGAAGCAGCTTCAGCACTGATTGTGCCTCTCTGGTGCTCCTCCTGGACAGATGGCTCCATGTTATCCACTGCACAGAAGTGTGGCTTAAAAGCCACAGTCTGCTCCTTAACGTTTTTAGACTGCATATGTCTTTTCAGATTTTGAAATGCTTACCTTTTATGGGCTCTTTTCCCATCAATTCAAGCACACAGGGAGATATTATGCAGTTAACTCCCACTGTTTCTCTGATAGGGCTTAGAACACGCTAGGTGTTGTGCGATCATTAACAGCTTACATTCTGAAAGCTTGAGGTATGTGCTTAATTTCTGTCCCTTAACATTGGCTTTGAATTCAGAGGTAAGACTTTGTTTTTAGGATTATGTGTATTGCATTCCCCATTCAGTGTTGTTTTTGCATTTCACTAACTCACTACAAGAGATACAAATGCAGCAGAGGTGAATTATGTCTAAATGATGTTTGGTTCTGAGTACTTTAAAAATTATGGGATAACCAGCCTTCCAGATAAATTCTTCCTTCTAGCCCAGTCCTCTACCCCCAGAATAGATTATCCTTCTCAGCTCCTCTAATGGACTCCTATCTTCCTCCCATTCCTGAGTCCTTGATTTGACTTATATTGCCATAGAACCCAGAAGCCCCAATCAGGTTTGAGGCCCTATTCTGACATGATCCCTGCCTGCAAGAGCTTGCAGCATAGGAGGTGGGGGAAGCTGGCTGCATTCCCATTATGATTTGGACTCACTGCTCCATCTAGGACCCCTCTGATGTGGAGCCTGGATTCCCAATGATCCTGCTTTAATCTTCCCCTAAAATTCTGTAGGATGTAATTTTGCTAGCAGAACTGTCTCCAGCAATGCCCTGTTTTTCCACATATGTTTCTCATTATTCTGAACTAACCCCCCTTCCCCAAAATGATATAAAATGTAGCTTACATCACGGCCAGCTTCACCAGGGGGACCGTTCAGACCAGGAGCACCCGAGGGGCCAGAGGGACCACGTGAACCGGAAGGACCGGAAATACCAGCAGGGCCTGGCTCACCCTAGCAAGGGAACAAGAGTAGGACACGGTATTGCAATTCACATACTGGCTTTATCAAGCAACACTTTTCTGAATATTTATTTCTGCCCATGAACTGCACACATAGAAGAAATATCTCTTTAAGGAGTTCCAGAAGTAAAGGAGAATTTGGACAAACTAACGTATGTATCTGACTACAAAAAGCAATTTTCTTTACTTCATGCTTTGTGCCTTCTCCCTCCCCCAGCCAATGTGAGAAACAAAAGCTTAATAGTGAAAGATTAATATTACACATTCTGGAACAGGTTTTCAAAAGGGAAAGAGCCGAGGGTTAGGTATAAATGCATGCCAATGGGTGTCCTCATTTCCAGACACAAATAAGGTGGTTACAGTTGAAAATGGCTGTTGAAATGCCCAACAGGACATACACATTATCCATGTGTGTGTGTGTGTGTGTGAGTGTGAGTGTGAGAGAGAGAGAGATTGTGGTAATTTGACATGTGAGTTAGACACAACGTTGCAACTGGATTTTTGCACGCGGTCCTAGACTGCTGCCATTTGGAAAATCTTGCCATATGCTTGAAAACCTGTCTCTCCCCCAAACAGAAGCTGGCCCAATAAAAGATATTACCTCACCCACCTTGTCTCTCTAAGATCTTGATGAAGGCAGATTTGTGACATGAGCATCTGTGTGTCATCTAAAGAACATTTTAATTCATAAGTGTATAACTGACTTGATTTAGCCCATGGGATACAAACTAAAAGAGAACCTCATTAATTGACATTAATGACGGAGAGATCCATTACCAATTACTGTGCAGTGCAATTAGTGGGAAAGTAAACACACAAAATTAAAAATAACAGGGGATGATGCATAGCAAAATGTAAGAAGGGATTTTTTGGGGGGTGCAAATTAAGGGATGGGATGTACAGATTAGCATATTAGCCAGAATTAGTGAGGTTCTACTATACTCTAAATCCCAAATCCCAGAATCAGTCTTACTGTTTCTTTGAAGAAAGTATTAAATATAGTGAGCCACTCTTTGATCTCACACCAATTTTACATTGTTCTGACTCCACTGATCAGAATCTGGTTCTATATGTCCTAGATTAAATGTTAAAGAAAAAGTCAATTTTATCTCTGAAGTTTCTGATAAAAGGAATATAACTGATGTCATAGACTCACTGTTCCTCCAGAAATGCCAGGAAGACCACGTTCTCCCCGAGAGCCAGGGAGACCAAGGATACCAGGAGCACCAAGAATACCCTGAGGTCCTGAGGTACCAGGAGGACCCTGAGGAAGGAGGAAGAGAACATCGAACGTTATGGTCCTTGTCTATAAAAATGGAGCTTTGCAGTGGCACTGCAAATCTGAATGGATTTTTTACCAAGACGAAATTTTTGCAATTTGATTTGATCCCATAATTGCACCAAGTTCTTTCAGAGGAATCTCACTACATAGTTCTCAGCAATAATTCCCATACAAGAGAAGTTAGACATTCTGTATTTTGCATTACATTTCAAAGTTAAAGTCTCTAATATATATAGCTGCTGAAAACTCTTCCAACAAAAATATTTTCCAATTGAAAGTTTTGTGGGTGAAAAATTTATTTTTCTCTGTGTTCTGCTGAGCCCTTGTAATATCCCATGCCTTTGGCATGCAATAGAGGGAGGGCTGTGCAGAAAGAATCTGGTATTTTTCAGTATAGTGATAGGATAAATCTATTTAATGAGATGCTGTAGTATAAAAACTGATCCTCTAATCTTTGGAAGGATTTAAAGATACCAATGTGAACATACACTCTGCTGTTGAGAGTCCTTTGCTGTACTCTTCTATTTTACTGAAATTGTGAAGGGGTGAGCTAGTTTGGTCCAAGAATAGCTAGCTAGGGCCCATATTCATTTATGCCTATGCAATGTGAGTGTAAAATATTATTAGGTCAGGTGCAAATGAATATGCTAGGTGTAAAGTAGTGCGGAATCAGGCCTATTAGCTCCATTATCCAATATTTCTAATACAAAATTAGATTTTCTTGTTCAGAAATGTTCTACAAAGATTTACACTGGATATAAGGGGCACATTTTTAAGTGTGATGCATAAAGATTTAACTACACAGCTTTCATCAGCATTATTGTCAGTTGCATGCACAAATCATATGTGTGGCACTACAGAATTAACTGTTTGCTGTAAATAAAATAGATCATAGAAAGAATAACTGATAGAGAAGCAGAAAGCAATAACCCAAGGTAGCCTATACTCTAGGCCCTCAAAATATCATTTTGGCCTTAGCACGGCTAGTAATTCTGAGAGTGCAAGTTGAAGAGCACTGATCAATTTTGTTGTTGTACAATTTTAAACCTACAGTTTAGATCACTTAGACCTCATCCACTTATTAGGGATTCTGAGCTATAAGTGACCTGAAATTGTCTAAAACATACAATTACAAATTCCTTCCTTAGCATCATATTTGGTCTTTTATTGTGCAGGAAAGCAATATGCTTGCTCCACAGCTTAATGGCAGAAAGCCAAATTCTGCCACCCTTACTCAGACCGAATACTATGTTCCTCTGCAAATAGCCCCACTGGTCTCAGAAGGGTGTTCTCAGACTAATATGCTACTCAGCAGAAGTAAAGGCAGCAGAAGCTGACTCAGAGAGCTTATAACACACTTTGCCCTTCACAGCACTAATTCAACTAAGCACTTAAGCATGTACTTAAATCCCACTGAAGTCAATGAGACTTAGGGACATACTCAGAAGGAATCATGAGCTTACACGCTTTGCCAGATGGGGCTAAAAGAGAAAACTGCTGAAGCACAAGACCTGTACTAGAATTTGTAATATTTACATTAAAAGCAACATTTAGGAATGTGAAGAGATGTTGTATGACTTACAGCACCACCAGGCTCTCCAGATGGACCTTTCTCACCAGTGAAACCAGGTGGGCCAACGATACCTTGTTCACCAGGACGACCAACTGGACCAGTATCACCACGTGGGCCTCTAGGACCATCTTTGCCAGACTGGCCAGGAGGACCAGGGGGACCAGTGATACCCTAGGATTAAATATAAGCATTAGTTCACTATCCTGCAGAGACAGATTATTCATCATTTCTCAATGAAACAAAAAAGGCACGCAGCAATAGTTTATTAGGGATTTAGGCCCAGATCCTCAAAGGTATTTGGGCGGGGGGTCTAACTTTCATTAGAAAGTTAGAAGTTCCAGCGTCTCCTTCCCTTACTCACCATGTATGTCTGAAATCAATGGAACTACCCCAGGAGCAGTGTGAATAAGTGGTACGATTTGGCCCAGAATAAACTATAGTCTTGGTTCTGTGCCTACTGGCGGTGATTATTAACATTATTGTAATCAATTTTATAACAGGGTATTTTCTTCTTCCCATCTGGCTGGACCCTTTATAGCAGCTTTTAGCTCTGTCAGACATGCGGTGATATCCAACAGAATTAAATACAGGAATATCAGACAAGAAAAAAAAAAAAGAGGTCTTTTTCAAATGAATGGAAGCACCTTCGTGATGAATGTGCCAACCTTTGCATGTGTCATTAGATTACATACTGGATCTTAAAGAAAAGCTTTGGGTGGGAAAAAATTAAGGGTCCAAATTTTCAAAAGGAACTAGTGATTTTGGGTCCCTTCATTTTTGTGTGCTCAACTTAGGGCACTTTCAAGAAGGCAGATTTTCAGTTTTGAAAATGTGGGCAAAAAGTGACTTTCTGCCATGCTTTCCCAAGCTGAGGACTGCCTTTCCCTAGGAACACTCCCACTGAAGTTAGTGGAACTGCTCCCAGAGTAAGTTGATACTCAGTGTGAATAGAGGTGCCAGAAACTATTACAAAAGGCACAATTTACAAAGGTATTTAGGCACCTACACATGCAGACAGATGTATAGTGGGATTTTCAAAAGTGCCTAGGCACCTAACTCCCAATGGGGGGAGGTTCTGAAATTCCCACTAGGCATCCATATAAACTCTATGAACCTAAGCACGTTTAAACACCTGGTGCTAAGTATTGAAGGGCCCGTCTCTGATCTCAGTTACACATGTGTAATTCAGGAGTAACTCCTCTCACGTCAATGATTTATATAGATGGAACGGAGATCAGGATTTGTCCATAATGTGGTTCAGCCTGTCTGTCATCTGATAAACTACTTTCACCAATTACTTACCGCAGGGCCGGGAGGACCAGTTCTGCCAGCAGCTCCAGGGAAACCAGTGGCGCCCTACAAATAAAAATCAAGGGGAAGGTGAGGGCTGAATATTGGAAGGTGAATCACTGAACGATGATTCAAAGTCAAGAGAAAATGGAGGTGTAAGAAGCTTGAAGACTTACAGAAGGACCAGCATCACCGCGACCACCAGCGGGGCCTGCAGCACCAATGGGACCCTACATGCGAGGAGGAGAAAGGGAAAACGATGAACCAAACAAAAACCTCCAAAGTTCCAGATATAGAAAAACGTCCCAATCCTGCTCTGACTGAAGTTAATGGGAATTTTGCCATCAACTTTAATGGAAGCAGGATTGCTCCACCTCCTCCAATATTAGAGTATATATTTGAATACTGGGGCCAAATTCTGAGTTCCTTTGCTTAGCTTTCACTCATACCTTATGCAGGTGAACTCATGGAAGTCACAGAGCTAGGACTTGGTACAAACTGAGTAAGGGCTTCAGGCTTTAAGGAAAAGATTTTTCAATTTAAACTGGCTTCCAAATGTTACATGCACACCCACAAACTCGGAAACAAAACAAAATAGCAATGGCTTAGTTGGCAAAGGGCATGAAGAAACCACTTACATGTGTGTTGTATGGATATTAGAACAACTCTATATATAGATTGAGTAAGGCCAAGGCAGAATACTGCTCTAGCTGGAAGCATATGGAGAAGGGTAAAGCCCTAAACAATCCTGTAAAGAAATTTCCTCTTGTGAAGTTTCAAAAAGGGGAATAGTTAAAGATCGAGGTCCTGACTTTCAGCATCTTTTCAACCTAGTCCCCATGTCTTATATTATGTCACTTGGATGTGAAGACAGTTCCATCAAAACCACAAGTGCAGGTGCACATGTACAAGAGGAGTATGGGTCTGAAAGTCCAGCCCCTAAAGAACATATTTTATCTTTGATAGGATGCCATTAGTGAGGGATCCTCAACTTTGGAATTTACCCACAAACATCTCTTTGCTTGGCCCAACACAGCCTCAATATATTGACCTTCATAGCATGTTGCAAAACTTATTTATTTTCCTAACCTCTATCTGAAGAAGTCAGTTCAGTGGACATGAACAAAGTGAGGGGGCTCTGGGGGATTTTTGGGGGATTTTTGGTTCTTGTTTTGGGAGGAATTTAATATTGATCCTGGCTGAACCTGAATTTGTTCTATTTACTTTTAAAAAATTAAATTGTACACTTGAGCCTACAGTTTTGGCTAGGTGCATTTTTATAAATGGGAAATAAACAGATTGTGTAAATTATAACAGCTTTTGTTAAGAGAAATGAATAAAACCCTTTATCACAACTATTAAAATTTGTTATCTGAAGCCACAAGAAACTTGACTGCAGGTGTATTGATAATCTCAGGTCTTCTTAGTAACCTGGACACATTTATGGTTTTGCTTTTAACTCAAAGTTTGTGTTTTGAATCAAGTTCAGAGTGATTGGAGGCAAAGGAGTTCATCTGAGTTTCCCAAATAAACTGATGACAAAGTTCTCACAAACTCTTGCAAACCAAAATCACCACCTTTTTCACAGCTTAAAACTTTAGTTTTGAAACTATGAAACTTGGAGAGAAACACAAAAAACTGTTTAAAGTTCAAAGCCTACTTGCCAGCTGTACTGGTTGCATAGTTTAATCAAGGATCAGTATTTTAATAGTAAATTCAGTTTACTTACTGCTGGTCCACTACTGCCAGCTGGGCCAATAGCACCCAGTGGACCAACTTCACCCTTAGGTCCTTTCTGACCCCGCTCGCCTTTAGCACCAGTTTGGCCAGCGGCACCCTAAAAACAGAGAGGAATAAAAAATGTTTAAAATACATTTTAAAGGAACACAACAACAGAATGTTGCAGCGTTTGACAGTGAATTATACACTTGGTACTTACAGGAGGTCCAGCAAATCCGTTAGGGCCAGCAGGACCACTCTCACCACGTTCACCCTAGAGTGAGATAAGAAACACTCAGGACTAAAGCTGTCAACACTCAAGAATAGTTGTTTTCTGAATGTAGCATTTTTGCATCTGGAAATGTTCTCTAAGTTGCTACTTACGGGAGCACCACGAGGACCAGCAGGGCCAGCAGAGCCAGCAGGACCAGCTTCACCCTAAAATATACCAAAGAACATTTTCACTATGATGTGCCATTGGCAGTCACACTGACTAATCTAAATGGGGATGTACTCTAGGTAATATGGCCTTCTCTTTGATTAATGGGGAAATTATGTACTCATCTCCCCTATGCCTGCAAGTGAGAAGAGATCACCACTACATATTACTCTTCATCAAAATACTCTAGTTTTCACCTATTTAATGCTACTGAGTTGCATTTTTTGCATGGTTTTTGGACATTTCCTGAAATTGTCACCAAGGATCAAATATCAGGGTATTTCAAAACAATGAGGAGTTGATATGTGTTCCTCCATCACCTCTGCCTGCTCCCCTGCCCACCAGAATGCTAAGTTTGCAATCAGAACTAGGCTCTATGTGAAGTCAGAAAGGCAGGGCCCAATCCAGAACCTTCTCTAAGTATGGTCCCACTACACTCTTACAACTCTTCCCACCCTGACCCGTTTGCGCAGACAGAGCAGTGCTGTGGTAATCCTTCACTTGCCAGTGAGGCTTTATAGCCTCTGACAGTCCTCCCAATATGGGCAATATATGAAAGATGTAGAAAGTCTATTTACAACGCTAGCTAGAATGGAATTTCTTTTTATTCTAAATAGAGACTGGTTACATTTTCCCCTGCAGCCTTCAAATGTTCATACAAAAGTTACACTGGCAACAAAAAAGCAAAGGAAGACATACCCGATCACCAGGGCCACCAGCAGGGCCAGGGGATCCAACAGCACCAGGAATACCCTAAAGAACAAGACAGAAACATGGCATGATTTCTCGTTACATATATTCATGCAAGGAGGAGTGGCCGTTCTCTCTGCTCCACTGCCTTTTGTCTCTTTTCTTCCCTCTGGAGACAGCAGTGTGACAATGTTGTTTTATTAGCTATGAACTTATATGATGCAAAATTTGTGAGGAAAAAATCACAGAATATCAGGGTTGGAAGGGACCTCAGGAGGTCATCTAGTCCAACCCCCTGCTCAAAGCAGGACCAATCCCCAACCTTTGCCCCATATCCCTAAATGGCCCCCTCAAGGATTGAACTCACAACCCTGGATTTAGCAGGCCAAAGCTCAAACCACTGAGCTATCTCTCCCCCTCCCTTCATTACTCTCTTCCTCTCAAAGTACAAGTTTCCAGGTGGACTGTGAGTATCCCAAAGCCTCTTTGAGCATTCGCATTAAAATGAGTGCCTTCTTTAAAAAACTAATGTGCCTTTGGGGTACAAGAGATCTTCAATTAGAACAAATGAAAAAAGGGCTCATTGTTACCTCACTGTTTCTGCCATTGATCTACACTCATAACTCTCATTGACTTTTGTTGGTGTTCACACACTGAACAATTGCAGGGCTGGGCCCTTAATTTGTATATGTCTATTGTTTAACCCTTTTCCACTTCACCTACTGTATAAAGGATATATAGCATCTGATCATGGAACCTTACTTGAGCAGACCCATTGATTTCAATGAACAACTTACTTGGCTCACATGAGTTTTACTCCTGTGATTCATGGGTTTGCAGTTTCGGGCCCATATAGTATGAATATTTGTAACTAAAGGGTAATATCACATTGCATAACTGTCTGCGTGAAGCAAGGCCCTATACTCAGATCAATGGCATTTGTTTGTATGCAGCCAGATAAGTCAAAAACACAGCATCCAATCAATTTTGAAATTTTAGGGAGTGTTCTAGACATCAGTGGGCAGAACGCTATTGATTTTGGTGAAAATCAGAAAAGTGGAAGGGAGATATGGGGGGCACACAAAGCCCCTGGTATCTGGTTAACAGAACCATCCACTTCAGCCAGATCTGTAATTGTCTATAGATAAAAACAACAAACAAAAAACAGTTGACGGCAGCCATCAACACCTTCCAACACCATCTCAGCCCTGTCCATCTTCCCAATACAGTTAAAACACCCTGAATGACTTTTCACCAGGCAGAAAGAAAAGAAATAATAATGGTGGGGGAAGGGAGGAATGGAGGGCACACAGAGCCCCTGGCATGGGGGGAGAATGGGGAACCCTGGTATGGGCGGGGGAAGGGAAGAACGGGAGGGTACACAGAGCCCCAGCACAGGGGAAAGGAGTGGCAGAGTTGCAGGGAGTCTTGAAATAGAGGGGGATGGGAGGGTGGCACACAAGTTGCTTGTGGGAGGTTGGAATGGAGGGATACAAGGAGTCCCTGGGGTGTGCAATGAGCTCAGCCTATGGAAGCAATGAAGTGTGAGATCCTTGAGTTCATTAATGCAAAACATTTAGTGTCCTGAGACATCTCTGGTTCCCTTCCACTACAGAAAGCTGGGACTCCAGATTAATCCTTCTCAGTACTACTCAATCAAGTTATTATTTTACTTTGCTGGTGTATTTTAAAGCTTTTCTTTAAAATATGGAGAGCTGAAGTCTAAACACCATTTTGTTGTTGACTGTGCAAAGGACCTGAACAGATCTTAGACTTCAGGAAAGGCTTGAAATATGCTCCTGTAAATCTTGTTCATTGTCCTTCAACAGAAACACTTCTGAACTGTCCGGAGCTAAATTTAGTGATAATAGAATGACTTGATATACTCACCCGAGAGCCATCTCTTCCTGTTGCCCCAACTTCGCCTCTGAGGCCTGGTAAACCCTGGAAACAGTAAAAAAATAAAATAAAACTCCACCACCACGTTATATTGTTAATGAAGGCCAGAAACAAAAAGAGATCTAAACTGTCTATTTTAACTGCATCATCATTTAATTCTTATTCCTACATACAGACATAATTCCTTCCTTCTTTATGTGCAGTTATTGTATGTGTATCTTGAGTGCAGAAGGAAACCTTCATTTTGGGGTACATTCTCTTTTTAACATGCAGACTAAAATCTGACACTCCTGAATGAGAGTTTAATAGCAAATGCATTGCTCAGCATGCCATTGCTTGTGCTAAGCAGTGAGTTGTGGAGTGAAGTTGCCGAGGAAGAGGAATGACATAGGGTCACCCCAAAAAAAAAAAACACAAAAGAAAGGTTAAAAGAGTTGCAAACTCAGTTCCTCTTCTCCTGATGTGGAAATCCTGCTCCACACCCATAGACCTTCCTACCAGGTCACAGTGTGTTTGAATGGAATTAAAGATTCAATTACAAATTACAATCTGTGAAAATGATGAGGGGCTTGCTACTGACCTCAATCTGGTTTGCAACAATGTGAGACATGAATCAGACCACTGATATAATCTATCTATCTATAGTATAAATCTATCCCTCCCCCTTTTCCTTTGGCCCATAAAAGCAATATGTACAAATTCTCCTGGGAATCTGCATTATACTTTATGTTTGGAGCAGGAAAAATAATTGTTGAATACAATGGGAGCATATAAATGGTTACACAGTGAACAAGGGTCACAAGAAGGATAGTCACTGGCCATCACTGTAGCCTCAAGGAATTAGAATATGATTCAGCCCTAATTGTTCTTCTCAAATATGTACTCTTGCTTTGCGTTGATTCACATGGCAGCTACCTGGATATTGTATCTTATAAAGAGTGTCAGGCAATTCCAGGCCTCATCCCTTTTTGACTGCATCTTTAGCTGAATGCCTTTTGATTCCTTTAGTCAAAACAAATGAAGCAATATTGCCAACCTCAGGCTTAGAGGTCATTCACTAGATTTCATACTCTCACATCCTGAGAAAGGCTTTGGTTGCTGAGATATTTCTCTGATTCCCCTTGGATACCTAGATTACTCAAATACTTAGGCACTTCACATTTGGAGTATCTGACAGAATGATACTGGATTTTGCAATTCATCGTTGAGTTTTATACACAGTAGTAATATGAGCGGGGGTGAGTTGCTCAGGCAAACTGAAGGGCATTCCTAATTCCAAAATTAAAAACAGAGTTTAATCCATTTTCCAAGAATAAAATTGTGAATGGATCAGCCAGATGAAGGAAAATACCGTGACTTAAGTATGACACTGCCAACGGTATTCATTCTACATTTGCTAACTACATGTCACAAATATTACAGGTCCTGTAACTAGTGCTCAGTGCTCAACAAGTTGTAGCAAAGGAGGTGGAGCCCTTTTTACATATCTCCATTCTTACTGTAAGTAGGACTCACTGAAGACAAGTTTAATAGATCTCTCAATACACTCATGGGGCCCAGTCCTGAAAAGTGATGAGTGACCACTACTCCTACTGATTCCCAGGGGTATTCAAGGGTGCTGGCATCAGAGAGGAGGCTTTCAGCACCTCACAGGATCATGACTTTGTTGAGAAAATAGCTCATTTACTCATGTGCTAGTGGTGGGTGTCTATGAAATATAGTTTTACGTAACTTTTCAGCTTTGGTGAAAGTTATATTCAGGTGACCTTTCCATTCAATTGTTTAAAAACACAAAGAGTCCCCCCTCGCCTGTCCCCCACAACCTGTGCACATGTGTTTCAGTTGCAATTAAACTGGTTGAAACTGGTGATTTACCTTTTCACCTTTGCCTCCTGGGACACCAGCAATACCTCTCTCTCCTGGGATTCCACCAGGGCCGGCTGGGCCTGGACCACCAGGGGCACCAACATTGCCAGGTTCACCCTAGCAGTAACAAGGGAACATGTAAGAAAGGAATGATTTGTTCTGTAAGGGTCTCAGCAAAATTATCTTAAGATTAAATTCCCCATCTTTCTTCTAATTTTTGACAGGACTGACTCAATAAATCATTCTTATCTTCAAATAGTCTGTCTCGAATTTTAGAAGATTTTTTAAAATTTATCCCTGTGGTAAATGGGTGCAACTTCATTGCTTTCAGCAATGTTCCCTGAAGGCAGCGGAGTAGTGCTTCTTCACTCCACGGCTGAATTTCGCTTCAGGGGAACAGCCTGATCTTCCAAAAAAAACACTAATCTTCCACTTTGCCCAGGAACCCGCCCCCTCCTCCCGTGTCACCCCAATTTTCTACTAGAGAATAGGCCCAAATCAGAACCATTTCCCTGACTCTTTAGAATCTGGAGGTCTTGACAGAATGGAGCCTAGATTCCAAGCTCAACTTTACTGATGAGATTTTGCAAAGATAAGACAATGCCTGGATTTCCTTGTTTCTCTGTGACTTTAGCGGTGATCCTCAGACACTAAATGATGCTCTTGCTTTCAGTTTTTGCAACTTGATCTGTGGGTCAAAACCAGGCTTTTGTTCTTGTGGGGGCAGTTTTGTGTCAGCTTGTCATTGGGCTCCCACGTTTGCAGATATCAGTAATTAAGATATAGAAATGTAGGTGCTAATGTTTACAATGATGAAAGTTTGGAACAAAGAGTCAGGCACAGTATAAATCCAGTTCAAAAGAGGTGAATGGAACACTGAGCTAACAGAAATTGTATCAATGATTCCTAGCTGGAATCTTACTCCCGTCCTCTGTAAAGGGAAAATTTTCAGTGCATAACAAACTAGTACATACTAGGCCTCAATGGAGCTTTGCCATTTGACGCCACCTGAGGATCTGGCCCACTGTCTCAGGGATATATGTAGGTAATTGTCATCAGCATCAAGTGGAGTTATGCACTTGGTTGTCAAGGTTTCAGTGGTCATAGCAGTAGCAGTTTGCAAAGGCTTACCTTGTTACCATCAGGGCCTGGTGAGCCAGTTGGACCACGGCTTCCCATGGAACCTACAGGACCAACAGCTCCACTTTCACCTGGAGCGCCACGTTCACCCTGAAAGAGACAGGCTGGTTTGAGTTGTCCTTGATAAACCAGAGCCATTAAAGGGCTGGTTGATTGCACCAAACTCTTTATTTGAGGTGAGTTGTGCAAACTAAAAAAAATACATTGGCATTCACATTGTGTAAAATATATTCCAAGTACACTTTCAAAAGGGGCCAGTTTTCCAAGACCTTGCACCTTGTGCAGTCACTGATACCTATGCAAACTGGCTACAAACAAATCAGAATGGCAGTTTTACACCCACTTTGTACAGGTATAAATGACTTCACTAGGCAGTAGAGAATCTGGTCCATAGTTTTTGACACATACCTACCAATATAAAATCCCAAAAACTTTTAATCGAGAGAGATTGCCAGTTAAAATACAAATATTTTCTTAGCACAAAATTCTGCCTCTGGACAGGGTGCATGCAACTTCTCTTAACAAGATCCATAAGCACAATTGTGAACTGATGCCCCACAGGCCCATTTGAAGGCAGGATTAGGATTTAATGGGGGTCCACCCATATGGAGCAGCTCGCAGGATTAGGGCCATTGCAATTATCAAGCAAGCATCTTTATTGTCTGTTTTAATTCAGTAATGCTCATTATCACCCCTAAGAACATTAAGTGTTTATATATACAATTTTTAAAAGGAAAAAAGGCATCTCCCAGTTTCTAAGTGTTTTGAAGCCAACCAGATAGTTTTCTGATAAGCAGTTTAGGGACAACATAAATAAAATGTAAATTATTTCTCACAATCAGAGCTTTTCCTGCATGGCAGGAGAGCAATACTGCCATGAACTCTTTGCTCTTTGTTTCTGCTAGTAGCCATATGGTCAAATTTTGAAAAGCAACTAGTTAAACAGGTGTTTTAAAGAACCAATGTCCAAAACCGAAGCAGCCTTCTATGCCCACCACAGCAGAAGTATAGTGTTTTGCCTACTTCTGAACATGAGCAGGGGGATTCTGCATCACTTTGTGCAATGCAGAGAAGCCTTTGCAGCATTTCTTTACACTATCCTGCTAGGGTTGGAGGTAAGGTAGGTTTGGAAGTGACTAGGTGTGTTGGGGTCATGGCTAGTAGTTTAGTGCACGGTGTACCTGATCCATAGCACAAAGAAATCTATTGTTTTCACTGTGCTTTGGACCAGGCCGTCTATGCATATGCAGAGGTCAGACATGACATAAGAGGGAGCAGCAGGCCATCCCCATTATTTTCCCACTACATGGGAAGGTTTAGCAGGCCCTGACACATGCACTGGGGCTGAGAATTCTCATTCCTCCTGAGTTTATCAAGTCTTATTAGAAATGTACATAAAGAAAACTTTATCAAGACAGAGTTTGAAAATGTACCATGAAGAGTAACTTACTCTTGGGCCAGCAGGACCGGGGAGACCAAATTCACCTGGAATACCCTAGACAAAAGAAAAACATGGGTTAAGCTGATTTCTAAAGCAGGTTTGTCATGATTGTTGTAGTCTTACATTTGTTTTTTTAAATACTAGTTAGAAATACTTTTCAGTGCAATAACATATGACAAGTATGGCACATCACAACCTGGCCTTTGGTGCACAAAGGTGGGTGACGATGAAAGGGCGCAGAGACCCTTTCCTCCCCAAACATGCAGCCAGACAGTATCCTATGGCACTGGCAGGCCTAGCTTTCAAACTTTGCAGACTCTGGAGGCCTGCTTCACCACTGAGTTACCCCAATTTTATTCAGCAGATTTCAGTGGAATTACACTGACATAAAACTAGAATAATTCCAGAAGAATAGCAGACATTGAAGTTTTGGAATGGAAATTTTCTGTCAAATAATTTCCATTTATTGTCAGTCTACTTTTAAAGATATTCAACCTGGAATACAGAGTGTAAGTCAGATCAGTCTTGAAAAGTCATATCAGGGTTTGGCTTTGTCCATACTAGAACTTTGAAATAAGAAATACTCCTCAATTGCTAAGTGAGGGTCTTGATTTGTTGCTGCCTTTAATAATGAATTAGATAGAAATTTTGCATACAATATGGAACACTTTGCATTTTGGGAAATGGAGGATCTAAACTAGACTTAGTTTTTCTTCACCTTATGTATGAGTTTAATCACAGCACTCAGGTGACTCAGCTGTCACTACTTGCAAACTACTGCTTGTGTTACTCACTCTGTCGCCTGGTTTACCAGCTTCACCAGCAGGGCCTGAGGGGCCTGGGAGACCCTAAATGAAAAGAAATAAGTGTATGAATAAAGTCATTACCTGAAGTACTGAATGCATTTCAGATTGTTACTGAAGAGCCTACACAGCTTACAGCAAAGCAGCAATAAGAGGCTAAGTTTATAACATGAAAGAACAAGGGACATGTTTTGCTTTCAGGGCCTGACTTAAAGCCCACTGAAAGACTCCAGATGATTTCAATGGGCTTTTGATCAGGTCCTAAGTTATGAGAACAATTGTGTAGTCCCACTGCATGGGAGTAAGAAAGAACATCTGGGCCCAACTATTTTTGACATTTATTCATAAATTGAGTGCTTTGATACAGTTACACTGAAGAAGTCTAAATATTTGAGATTTCAGCTGGCTACATAGAGAGCTACTAAGAAAGTTCTGAATGGGCTAAGGTGGGCTTACAAAGAATGGGAGAGTTAAATATTAACTATAGTGTTTGCTACTATGAATAATAAAATATATGGGATAATATTTGGCAAGTGAATATTTACTTACTTGGAAGCCAGGGGGACCAGCTGGACCTTGTTCACCTTTTGCACCAGGATTGCCCTAGAAGGAATTAAAAAGAAAAATACTTAACTAGGACCTGGAAATACAAGAGAAGGCTTTTCATATTGGAAGTCCTGTAGTTTAACATTAAATCAAGAAAGTTCTGCAACTAGGTTTATGATGTAGAAGCTGTTACTTACAGCAACGCCCAGGGGACCTTGAACACCATTGTTGCCATCAGGACCAGGAGCACCCTAAATACAGTATTAGAGAAACATCTGATGACTCATTTATAAATCCAAGCTTTCCTGTCTTTCTGAATTACACACTCATTCTGAAAGTATAGGGCCACAACAGCTTATTTTGTACCTGCAACTGGTCTAGTTAATAAGAGTCTTTATCCTGCTCAGATTTCTATCCATTAATAGCTGCATTACTGTTTAATAGCTGCATTGTAAGAAGACAGCAGAAATGCTCACAATTGTATTGTGGGATGGCTTTGGTTCTAGAACCAGCTTGAAATCATGGGGTCAAATTCATCCCTGGTGAAACTTCCTTCAGTGAAGTTATATGAATAAATTTGATCCATCAGCCATAGAAAAAGAAAGAAGAGTTCTTGATGGCAGGATGTGGATGAAAAGCAATCCCTTCCACTGGAGATTTAGTAAATCTCATAAATAATATGAAGAAAACAGGATTTGAGGGATAAATTGGAAATGAATAAGCTTTCCTTTTCAAAATCGATTTGCAGGGGAAGGGGTCTGATGTATGGGGTGAACCAAGCAGAGTAATTCACATTTAACATTAGTCCAATGTGTACTGGTAGAAGGTTAGACACATGTTTACAGAGTGTTCTCCTATTTCATCAGTTATTCTTGGTTCACTTGCACAAACTAATACTATCTTCTCTTTGTGGGGGCCTTGAATATCTGTTATTGCTCTCTTGCGTCCTATCTATATGTTACTAGATAAAATATACACATACCCGTGAGCCAGCAACACCAACATTGCCTTTGTCACCAGGTTTGCCAGGTTCACCCTACAGTTAATGGGGGAAGAGGGGGGGAAGGGAGGGGGAAGAGAGGAGAAACACAAACAAATTAAACAAGTCATCATTCTGGAAACAGTTAAAGTGCCAATCAAAGATTGTTATTTTCCATGCCATAAGATCTATTATAATATTCCTTTATCCCTATATTTTCAAACATTTTCACTGGATAGTTGAAGAGGTAGGAAAAACCATCTATACAATAGAAATAATTACCTTGTCCTTTTTTTCAAATCCCCATTCATCTATACTGGCAGGTCTCAGTTCTGCTCTCTGAGATGCTGTGCATGGTGGCTTTCACTAGGCAACACCATAAATCCAGGGGGTTGAATGTAAAAAATTACCTATTACACCTATGGGATTGATCCAAAACTCACTAAAGTCAGTGGGAGTATTTCTACTGGCTTCAATGGGCTTTAGATCAGACCATATATATTCAGGCATATTCAGAAAGCTTTTGAAGGGCCAGATGCTGCACTTCCTCTACAGTTAAAATGCATACAGGGGATCAATGTTTGTAGAACAATTAAATATAGAGAGCAGCACTAAAATGAACATATATTGTAAAATGCACTTAATCTGATAACAGCCTTAAACATTTTCTGCTGGTTTGTTGAAAAAATATTGTTTCTATTTTGGGTTACTGCACAAATTACTAGAGAGACAAAAATGTCCTGATAGCATTAAGTATACTATACTCAATAAATAACAATGCAAATGGCATGCAAGCAGATTCAAGTGCTTAACTGTAATTATTATGAAGATAACTCTCTACCAAGAAATAGGCTTACAGTGATATAAAGCTCTGCTCTATTGTACTTACATTGGGACCTTTTGGTCCAGGGAATCCAATGTTGCCAGGCTCGCCTCTTGCACCAGCTGGACCAGTTGGGCCAACTCTACCATCAGCGCCAGGGAAACCCTAGAAAAATCAATCATACTTTTGAATGCCTGTTTTTTAATCACTAGCCCATGGTTCAGTTTCTTTCTGTGATGTAAAGAAAAGAGTTATCTGTATGGGGAAGCAGCAAACATCTAATGCATATGGTTTACTTTTAAAAAGTGGAGAGCATATCTGAATATACAGTCACTCTTAGTACATGTTTTCTCCTTTCTCTGACAATGGTAATCGTACTTTTATTGTTACTTCATTTTTTGGGATTATGGGCCTGATCCAAAGCCCATGGAAAGACTCCCATTGACCTCCATGGATTTTGGATCAGTCCCTTGAGCAATAAAATACATAACTGTAAAGGATACTTTGAAATAGATCTCACTGACTTTAAACATAGTTGTGCTAAAGCTCAGCAATGTGATTTCAGCTTCCTAAATATAGCTATTACTGGTGTTTTAATATATATTTGGAAAATATAGTGAAAAGAAAAGAATACTTACAACGGGGCCTTCCTTGCCAGCAGGGCCTGGGTTACCAGGTTGACCTGGAAGACCCTAAAACAGAAAGGTTTTATTGTCATGAAATTCATTCAGATCATTAAAAAAACAGAAAACAAAACAACCCCCCTAGCTTTTTCTATATACTATTTGAATAAGTTGCAGAAAATAAGTCTTTATTTCCTATTGTTTGCACCAAAAACACATTAAAGCAGAACTCAGTAATATATTCCCACACAGACTGAAAACAGTCATTTTAATTCTGTATACTGTATTTTATAACATGTATGCCACTTGCTTAAACTCATTTAGGCCCTAATCCTGCAAACATTCACAAATTTAAAGTTAAGTATGTGCACAAGTGTTTGCAGAATTGGAGGCTAATGGTTTAAACATTGATTAGAAAGCTGATGGAGACAAATTTTAAAGAGGATGAATTAGAGAGAATAAAACCAATGCATAGAAGGCAGTGACAGACTAGGGCCAGATCCTGCTCCACTGAACTCAATGGGAGTTTTGCTACTGACTTTAATGGGATCAGGATTGAGTTCTAGATAACCTATCAACTCATGTGAATTTATGGACAAGATTTATTGTTCTTTCAGTTAACGTGAATAGGAAGATGGGCCAATGTGGCTTAGAGAACACTGCAACAGACACACAAATTTCAACTATGACCATAATTACCACATTGTATAAGTAATAATTAAGGCTAAGATTTTGTCATGTTTATTTTTAGTATAAGTCACGTACAGGTCATGGGCAATAGACAAAAATTCACGGAAGCCGTGACCTGTTTGTGACTTTTGCTGCTGCAGCTCCATAGTGTCTCCTGCCACCATGATGACTGGGAGCTGCAGGGAACCCCCTCTTCCTTCCCTCCCACATATAGGAGACTGTCATCTGTCATTGGAACCCTGAGGAGGGCCCCCTGAGGAGGCTGTCAGGGGACTCTGAAGAGGCTGTCGCCCATCACTGGAACCCTGCCAGGGCCCCGCTGGCTGCCAGCTCCAATCCCATGGCACCAGGGGCTGAAGCAGAAAATGTCACTGAGGTCTCTGGAAGTCATGGATTCTGGATTCAGTGACATAAACGTAGCCTTAGTAATAATCAGTGGAATCACCTTTGGGATAGGGACCATCTCTTTGTTCTGTGTTTGTACAGTGCCTAGCACAATGGAGTCCTGGTCCATGATTGGGGCCCTTAGTTGCTACCATGATAGCACTATATAATAATGCTTAATTTTATTAAATGTTTTGATATTGTTTAATCACTTTGTTAAAGAAAGCACTCATAATACCAAGAGATTTGTATAATGACAGGCTGATGGAAATTGGCCAGTTATCCTCTGTGATAATGGACAAATATATCCTCTAAGTTTTGAATAGTTTTATCCCATAAAATGAAAGTCATTTCCCTTTTTGCAATTCTCCAGCAAAGCTACTGAGTTCAGACTTACTCTTGGACCAAGGAGGCCAGGCTCACCAGGGCGACCAGAATCACCGCCAGGACCCCTAGCACCAGCGGGACCAGGAGCACCACGGCTTCCAGCAGGTCCCTACAAAAAAAAAAAAATTATAAAAAAAAATTAAAACCAAGGCAGAGACAATTAGCCATAAGTATCATCCATATATATAAATAAAGAAATCCTGCATTACACTACTTGACTAGAAGTAACTTGTACAAAAACTCACCATACCACCAGTTCTGCCATCAGATCCAGGGAGACCACGAGACCCAGGAACGCCCTACGAATAACAAACACAAAACAGATTAAGAATGGAAAAGAGATTAAGTCACATGCTAAGGCAGAGTTTGCTAAAGCTCAGAATGCAAACCAGAACTGCTGGTATCTCAGATGAGTCTGGATCTGAGCACCCTCAATTGTGGGGAAATCTGGATCCTGAGAGAGATCCAGACTTTGTGTCTTCCCAGAGCTCTAATGGATGGAATCAGAACTTTTGGTCTGAGCACCCTCAGTCTTTGGTAAAATTCAGCTCTGGATCTGGGGCCAAACTTTGGCCATGATCCTCTAATCTGATCCATGCAGGTGGGCCCTTGCACCCATGCAGAGCCTTACTGACACCTGGGAGGTTCACGTGAGTACAAGGAACTGCCCATGCAGCTCAGATTGCAATATCAGGGCCTTTCTGTCTATAGCCAACCACTAATCTTCATCTGAAACACATATGGGATTATCATTCCGTTTTCTTTCCTCTCCGGGTGAGCGCCTGATCCTATGAGGGGCTGAGTGCCTCCTCGAGGAAGCTGGCCTTGTTCCCCTCCAGCTGGAGGTGCCGTCTGCACCTTGTCAGAGATACTCACCAGCCTTGCAGGATCGAGCCCCTGGCTTTCAATTACATTTATGTGTATGAATGGGTTTTTAAAGGGCTAAGTGCATTTGTGGGGCTCTAAAAACAATAAATATTTAACAACAATAACTGAAACCAACCATAAACATATACTTTGAGGACAAGTATAATTTTCAGCATTAATATGTACTATGCAAAAATGGCTCAGATCACTGGATACAATATCTGTTCAACGGGCACATTCCTAGGGGGCTCGACTTAGCCGGAATAGTACAGATAGCAGCATTAATGACTCCCCATTTCTTTATTTGTATCTGTTGTTCTAGTTTTGCTGTTTCATTTCCCTTCTTATTTGCTTATGGCTGAAATGTGCAAGGAGAACCTACTCTTAGACCTGCTGAACCAGAGGGGCCGGTAGCACCAGCTTCACCAGTAGCGCCTCTCTTGCCTTCCTCACCATTTGGACCAGCGGGACCCGCTGGACCAGCAGCACCCTGTTTCAATGTGAATAGAGAAAAAGATCAGAATCTTATGCGACAGGCTACACTAAAATTAATTCACTGAAACATGTTTCATGTGCTACCATACTCACAGGTTCACCCTTGTTACCAGATTCTCCCTTGGATCCAGCAGGTCCAGGCTCACCCTAAAGTCAAGCAAAGAGGTCACAGAATTAAACATCCTAAAAAACTACTTTCTTCCACCTGTGCAAGCTTTCTATGCAGCTAAGAACTATTTAATAATCTAACGGGAGTATCCCGCATCGTTCTATTTTGATAGACAATCAGGGGCCATTCCTGGTATGTGTCAAATGGACTTTTTTGGTTTTACAGACATGGAACATTCATAGAAAACAATATGTTAAAAGATAATTTAAAATAACATCAATTGATCTAAAGCATTCAGGGCCTGCTCCTCAGTTGGCATTATACCAGCCGAGGGCCTGGCATTAAGACTGTTGTTGTATCTTTCTGCCTTACACAAGCTTGGATAGCATTAGTGTGCAAGAACTACTGAGCTTTATGGTCATCACACCCGAAGGATGTGCGACATATGAATTCTTAAGTCACAATAAGCCAAGCGGTGGCAAAATGTGGAAGTGAGCTGCTATGTGTAACTTGAAATGCCTTGGAAAGAAAAACTAAAATGTTTGCCATTAGAGATAAAATATATCCAGCAGGTTTTACAAGTGTGGATACTTTGGCCATTATAAAATAGAGAGACACTATAGACTATGCCACTTACAGCAAGTCCTCTAGCACCAGCTGTACCAGCTGGGCCAGCAGGTCCAGGAATACCACGAGGACCAGGCAAACCAGGAGCACCAGCAACGCCAGGAAGACCCTGTTAAGCAAAAAAGAAAGAAAGAACATAACAATCTCATTATCTTCTTTGTCACTTTAATTGAAACATGCTTTCTGAAGCAACTCAGTTTGAATTTAGAGATACTCACAGCTGCACCTTTAGCACCAGCAATGCCATTAGCACCAGGGTTGCCCTAATAAGGAAGACAAAAGGTATTGGTTAATATAATCTTCTGCTTACTTCCCCGAGCTCCAAGAATTCACATTTGCTGATAGCAAGGTTGAAGCTAACTTACTGCAGGGCCAACAGGGCCAGAAGCACCAGGAAGTCCAGGCTCACCTCTTGGACCAGCAGGACCACTGGGACCGACAGCACCAGCAGCTCCAATATCACCCTGTTTGAGAAAACGGTCTCAGACCTTTCAGCTACAAGCACAGTGCAGTGATAGACCACAGCACGGTGTCTCTCAGCATACACTACCCACACCACCGCAACCTGAGATTAATAATAGATGTTGGCATTTGTTATTGCTGTGTGAGATGTGAAGAAACCGAGGCTACGTTTACACTATGAGCTGCAGCGTGATTCCCCAACTCGTGTACATGTACTCGATGACAGCCAGCGTGAGTCTAACTAGCACTGAAGCCATATTAACAGGAGTAGTGGCAGTAGAGGCGTGGCTGAGCCATGCCAAAGACATAACCACTGGTGTTAGGTGGGTGGGTGTGTACTCGGCACGGCTCAGCTGTGGCTCCATTGCCTCTACCCCTGCTATTTATACTTGTGCTAGTTCAATGAGAACTAACCTGAGCAATGTATACGATCTAGGGAATCACACCCCTAGGTCACGGTGTAGACATAGCTTTTTTACCCATTTTCAGAGACACTGAGCCTTGGAAGCCTATGTAGTTCCCATGGAAGTCAGTGGCTTACATGGGAGCGGTGGGTCCCCAGCACCGCTGAAAAATCAGACCATATGTTATTACCCAAGACCATATGTTATTACAGCAGGTCAACTGCAGAGTCAGTTTGCACTACTGCAAATAATGACACAAGGTGCAGAACAACCGTGAATTGGTCTCAAAGTTCCTCCAGGCAATGGATGTCCAATTTAATTTTTGGCATCTGAACTTATAATAAGCTACTGGCAGGGTATCAATTACACCTTTTTATGGGATCTTACCTTTTTCTTTTTTTCAACGGTACATCAGAATTAGAGGCTATCTTAGCTGAGACAGAATCTTTAAAACTCAGCCCTCGGACCCATAATTGTTCTGATTACTTATGTTTTCATCAACTGACTGTACAAACTCTCTGCTATTACTGGATACACTCTGGGTAAGGTTTTCTTTGGTTTCTAAAGCTACTGCCTTCTATCAAGAATGTGGCCTGCGTGTATCTTCATCTTCAATACAGTGTTTCAGTTTGCAAAGACTAAGGATCCCAGCAAATAATTCTCCATTATTCTGATCTAAATATGAATCAAGATAGATTTGTCTGCTAGGACATGTAGTCTTCATGGGAAGCACATCTGTATTAAGGAGGAGGATAGCACCAGCAAACTAATCTAGTTTATTCAAAACCAGTGTAGCCCTTGGCCTCTTGGCAAGTTGTCAAATCAGCTCCCAAATGGGGCATAACTTGACTCGCTGGTCTAAATTCTGCCATTCTTTCTCCATCAAAAAATCCCGTTTTATTTAATGGGAGTTTTAACTCAATAAGAACTTCAAGATCTGAACTACAGCAAATGGATTATCTAACCTACAGTCTGCAATGGGGACAAGTTATTTACTTGAGGGTTAAAGTAAAACTATAATTATTTTTAATTGTAGGTTCTTCATAGTAATTTTTGGAACTCAGGAAATGAGGACCCTGATTCGCCACCAATCTGCACCTTGTGTAGTTTTTCATACCTGTATAAAGTGGGTGTAAAATGCTACCATGCTGATTTGGCATGTTTCACCTCCACTTGTCAGTGGAGGTGAACTGCAACAGGAGTGAAGCACTGATGAACCAGGCTCTATATCTCCATAAGTGCCTTTATCTGTTCATTTCTTAGATTCAGATTTCATCTAATCTATTATTAACTATAGAGGAAATCCTGCTCTCAGGTCCAGAGTGTGAGTCTCTTACTGGCATTTCCTTTAGTGATTATTCTGCATTCATTCTGCTCCAAGAAGTTCAGTTTACTTCAATGCCAATGCGGCAATCAGTTTGAGTGCTGAATATGGAACAGATTTGTACCAGAGAGCCCACAGCTGGACTTTACAATCTTATATGTAATCGACATATTTTATGTAATCCTTTTGGGCACATGCTCCCTATGATCATTTGGGGCAAACATTCCCTGGGATTATTGAGGAAAAAATAAATTAAAATAGTTTAGCTGTGTGGAAAAGCTGCCATATTTCAAAATGTTACTTATGTATATATGTGATAATATTTCCAAATATTAGGGTTAGGGTTTTTCCTCATTCTGACCTGTAACAATAATGTTTGGTTTGAAAGCACTTCAGTGTCAGATGTGAGCGCACATTTTGCTGTGCATAAGAATTAGATGGTACATTTCACCTTCCTCTAAAAGAAGATATTCATACCTTGGCACCAGGAGCACCTGGGAAACCTGGAGGACCAGCAGCACCAATGGGGCCCTACAAAATGAAAGAGACAAAGTGTTTAGAAAGATTACTGAAAACACAGGCACCTTAGTTGCTGAAATAAATATATGGCAAAATACAAATGTATCTATCTGATCAATTACTTATCAATACATCTTCTGAATCTCAGAAGCGACAATTAGAAATAGGATTGATACTGAATAATATTTGCAGTGTGGATTAAGACTTTATAAATGAGCAAAGACTCCTGTCCTAGAACCAAAACACATGAGCAGGGCAGGAAAGTACAGGATGGGCAGAGGCAGCCATCTGCTAGTGCCAGGCAGGATGCCTCACAGGAAACTATCACAAAAAACAAAGGGGGAGCATGTTATTCTGGCCAGGAGCAGTGCACCAGCTACTCCTTGCTGCTGATGCTTATCAACTGTACACCCCAGTGCACGAGGCATGTGTGTTGTGTAGGGCAACTGGCCAGCTGCTTGCATGGGAGAGGGAAAGGTTCCCTCAGCTCTTTGCATTACCTTGCACTCTAGTGCCTGAAGCAACTCTCACTGAAGTCAATGTGAGTCCTTCCATTGTCTTCAATAGGTGATGGATCTGGCCATAGGGGAGCAGAGGGCAGGATTTGACCCTAAGATGTGAACGGACTGTACAATAGTTACCATGATCACCTCCAAAAGGAAACCAGGATTTGTGGGTGGATGAGGCAATAGGCGACTTCACTTCCATTGTGATGAATAGGAGACAACTTATGCTCTGTAACCATGGCAATCCCCAGTTGGCACTACTCACTGTGGGTTGCCATATTTAAAGAGTTATGCAGCACTTTAGCCATTCAACTCTTTCAGTCTCTGCTTCATTGAATACAATACAGAACTGGGGTGTGGCCTAGGGGTGGCAAATTGTATTATATTTGTGACAGACTCTCAGGATGATATTAACATAAACATCTTTATTCAACTAAAGTGGCTCTGTCTTTAAAAATGGCAAAAGCAAAGATATTTCAGCAGTAACCTGCCGTTCCACTGGCCCTGTCATATCTAGGTGCTGCTGTGAGACTTGATGCTTGGAATTATTATGGGACAAATATTCTGGCATACAGTACCTAGACACAACTGGATGAGTTAGGGATAGCACTAAATCTCTTAGTTTTTGTGGATTTATAGCCTTCATTTTATTTTGTTCTTCTTAGCGACACAAAAAAGTGTTATTTTTTCTTAAATTATTAAGGGAAAGCATAACTATGATTCACCGATTATTGGTACCATCATCATCTCATTCTGTTTCTATTGGGCTAAGACCTTCTCTCAATTAGACTGGAGTAACTCATCAACAGCAACAACCCCCCTAGATCCAAATGAAGTCATGGGGTGTAACTGAGAGGAGAATTTGGTAGATTATTTCTATCCAGTGTACTATATAACTGAAGGAACCACCGTGACCCCGCTTTTCTATGATTTTTAACCCAGAAGTAATAACCACAATGGTTGTATCTGCTAACTTTAAAAAAACCCCTGTAATGTGTGCTAAAAATCCATATCAGAAGTAATATGCATGAAAAGTAGCCATTTGCTGAACTTCCATCATCTTGACGTTTGGAGTGTTTTTAATTTTGAGAGGCATGAAGAATGGAAGCAGAAAAGCACTTGGTTTTTTTTAAAAAACAAGTCTTGAGGAGGATCAGACATTAAATCACCTACACATTGAAATTTGGTTTGCTGAAGTTAGTAATTCTGCACATACAGACATCTGATTTGGATCTCACATCAGTGTAAATCCAGAGTGATTTCACTTAAGTCAGCCACTAGTTAGGATTTTACATCAGTACTAACCCATCTGAATTTGTTTCAGTGTGAAAAAACTGCCTTTGAAACAATTTAAATGGTCTGGTTTTGCCCTTGAAAAGTAAAATAAAATCCCAGCTGCCTGGTCCATTTGGTATATAAATGAGTAAATGAGAGTACAATTTGATCCTTTCAGATGTCAGGTATGTTCTACCAATGTTGATGTCTGAGAATCTCAGCAAGTGGTGACTAAAAATGACATTATACTTCATATTTTACTGACTTCCTGTTGGTTAACAATCATAAACAGAAAAGGCCACACAGATAATCTCATTGAACAATGGGAAATTCTGCATAATTCAGGAGATGGCTATAAGACTTAAAACACCACCCTTCTGCCCCAAATGACCAAAGTTGTAACTTACAGCAGGACCGGTGGGGCCAGCACTGCCATCACTTCCACGAGAACCCTACAGGAGAAAAATATGAGAATTAACTTCTGACACAGGATTAACAAATACCTACTGAAAAGGCACAGTAAATATGAGTTAAGGTAAGTAAAATATACAGATACGAAGTCACTTACAACGGGTCCAGGAGAACCTATTCTTCCTCTTTCACCAGGGAGGCCACGAGCACCCTGGAAGAATACATTTAATTAGTTATTTTGTACATGTGAGGCAAAACATTCACTGAGCAAGACATGACTTCAGTTTTGCCTCCATCACTGTATTAACATTCTTCAGAGGAATAGGTTTCAGATTTTAATTCTGATCAGGCAAAGAATGTCATTCCAGTTAAACATGCACTGTTATATTAGGATGACTGACTTTAACAAAATTGACCACAGTGATTGGCAAGCATTAGAAGAGCTAGCTGAGAAATATCTTACAGATTTAGCAATTTTCTACATTATGAACAATAGCAAATACTCACAGCTTGTCCTGGGCTACCATTTTCACCATGGGCACCAGGTTCACCCTATTAACAATAAAAAATTGTTCGTCAGTTAGGCCTACATTACATTTCTAATGGACTGTTCAGTGGCCCTACAGAGATTTTAAGGGCCTGATCTTACTCTTATTGATCTCAGTGGGAATCATATCGCTGTCCTCAGTAAGAGCATATCTGCCCCTAAAGTCCCTAACTTTACATATCTAACATGTAGAACATCCCCATACTGTGAGTAAAAGACCAGATTTGATCAATATTTTTCAGTAGGTTTTTTTTTTTTGGCCTCACTCCCCCTCCTTTTTTTTGCCTTAGGTCAAGATTACAAACGCTGGGTCAGCCCACTCCATCTAATGGCCAGAAGTAAGCCATTACCCCAGTGCCTGGTATCTTGAGGCCAGTGATCAGAGATATGTATGGGAGTCATCCAACTAAACACACCTTTTTCTGTCCTTTGACCACTAGATGTTGCCCTGGATGCTGTCCCATAGGTGAATATATCACTGTGCTAGAGCACTAATATTTTGTTCTATAGAAGTATTATGAAGCTACAATATGGTTTTGCAAGAACTGTTGCAATGTAATTTGAGAACAAATAAATTTTGCTGGTTGACAGTGTAACATATATTTGTATGCAGTAATACCATATGATGTGTTTGGTTTGTGACAATAAAAAGGTGTAATATAATGTATAGCAGAGCTAAAATTCCCCCAATAGTGGCTCATTTAGCCTTATGAATCAGTGTTATAATCTGCATTCTATACGTCATGGATTCATGTAGATTAGTCCCTGTGAATATATCTGTTCTCCCTTAATCATGGGTCCTCCAAAGTAATGACAAGGCCAAATTTAACCCCGGTGTAACTTCCCTTTCATCAGCATAGATACACCATTAGTGATTTTGGCTTACTCTGTTTCCAGTCATTAGTATTCATAACTCATGTGTTAATAATTGCTCTCTCATTCATTTCACAATTTTTGTCTGATTTTCACCTGCAAGTATTTAACAGAAATGTTGATAGCCTAATAGCTTGCCATTAAAGAAGTCAGCAACCAGATAGCATGCTGCATAGAGATATGAGAATTCTGTACTATAATCAGCAGCATTCATTAGTAGGCCCCCAGAAAAAAAGTGATGAAAGGAATTGTGTGAAATTTGTGTGTTGCTGATTTATTAACTGTGAAAATCAAACCTCTAGTGTGAAATAAGCAAAAGTATCCCAGCTCCCAATTGGTTGTTTCTATCAACATTGCTATGAAGGACTGAAATGAAAAGGGAGAAAAAGTATGGAGGAAAGAAAGAATGACTAGTTGGGGAACCTAATAAGTTGTTAAAAATGCCTGTGTTTGTGATTTTCCATTTCTCTGCCACGTTTAAATTCAGTTTTGCAACACTGCTCTTTAAATCTGTTGCTAAAGTGTGGCGTTGTGAAGAAAAAAGCCCAGAAAGACCAACACAATCTGAATTAAAGCAACATCACCAATCGTCAATGTTCTAACAGAAGGCAGTACCACAATACATGGCTAAGGCAACAAAATTTTTCGGAAAGGGGAGAGATTTTCATTGTAATGGACTTAGGGTGTAGGGGAAGGAGAATCATGATTTTTTAAATACTGCTGGAAAGCTAATCCGTAGGGGCCCAATCCTGCAGCTCTTACTCAGTAGAACGACTCTCGCGAGTAACAGCTCAAGGCCCCGGGCATGATCTCTCTTGTTAAGAAATGACATATATTTCTGTTACATGGGTCAGCTGATGTCAGAGTTATTTCATCCTGAGAAATGTTTAGGTGACAATGTAAGAGATGAATTGGAGATAATAGCATGTGTATTTTGCTGGAGGAAGTTGTAAGTGCCCTATGTTTTAAACTCCATTATTCTGATTTAGTTTTTACCTTGACACCTGGTGCACCGGCTTGTCCCCTTTGACCATCCAGACCGTTGTGTCCCTATATTGGATAAAAAATAATTATTAAAATATATCGTCTTGCCAATATTTATTCATGCCTACAAACTGTCATTCACAGGTGGAAGGTCTATCTTTCCACTATCCCTCAATGCTAATCATATGGTTGTTTTTTCTTCCATTTTGTTACATCAAGGACACATTCAAGGGTTTAACAAGACTCATTTTGCTAGTCCATACATTTACAATGTCTCTCACATTAATCTGTGACAGACTTATGGGGACTTCAATATCCTGAGATATTTTCAGGCTTGACCACATAGGTAAGAAATATGCTCACCCTAATTCCTTTAAAGCCAGGCAGACCAGGAGTTCCAGGGAAACCACGAGCACCCTTAAAGGAAACAGAGGGAGAGTGAAGGAATGTCTCTCACATTAGCAATTATAGCTAAAGGGAAAAATGATAACTTTTGCAAAATATACTCATGTATTGACCAGATTAATAAATTAGGAAAAAGATTTTAGCTATAGGCTGGGAGCCTGAACCTGTGAAATACTCAGCATTGTCAATTCCTATCCTTCACAGGGCAGGCACTTAACTATTAAGCACAATTATTAACAAGAAGCAGCCAATTGCCAAGTTCTTGTGTGGGATGCATAGGGTGTAGATCATAGCTGTTAGGACTCCAAATATGTTCTATACTAGTGTAGTCTTCTACACTAAAGGATCCATTCTCCTCTTCCTATGCAATTCCTTGCCCCCACCAAAAAAAAAAAAATTAATATAAGCCCCTTAACGTTTCTGATACACGGAACCTCTAGCTCCATACAGAAGAATATAGACACAGAAGAATCCCTTAGGGTATGGAATGGCAGAGTAGTCCATTCAGGCCAGTATTACTAGTCTGATAATATGTTCCTTTTCCTAAATGTCCCCAGGTTTTATCAACTACAAGGCAATTATTTGGTTTAATATATGATAGGCAATTGCTCACCTGAGGACCAGGAACGCCCCTCTCACCAGATCTTCCAGGTTTTCCAGGGTGACCCTGAAAAGTGACAGAAAAGAAAACTAGTTGTGTAAACAAAGGCAATGGAGCCACTTTTTAAAAATTGTTGGAGCTTATCTTCAGTGCATGGATGCTACATTTGCTTTAATTTGAGGCTTGAGGTCACATTTGGAAAGGTTTAATATTTGTCTGTTTTACATTATGTTGAAAAATGCAACATGATTTCTATAAAATCAATGGTTTGGGGAGTTGTGGTTCATTTTTTGGTGGGTGTTTTACACTTTTGAGTAATTGTCACCAGAACACCTAGGGGTGTCACTGAAATAAGATAAGTTTAATTTAGAGATTTTAATCATGAACATCTGACTCTAATGAAGATGAATGGTGTTTAATAACTACTTACATCTTCACCAGTCTTTCCAGGAGGACCAGCTGGACCACGGGCACCAACGGGACCCTATAAAAAAAGCACCAGGATTATGAAGTTGAACAATTGAAGTGAGACTGCTCAGTTGCTTTGATGTTCAATTTGAATTAGAGATGGGCCTGACATGGGACCCTGGTTCTGAGTCCTTCCATCCCAAGTTTTGTGGAAGCCAGCTGATTTTGTAGTTTATGGACTTTAGACTTGTGAAAGTCTAAGCCTCATGGCTCAGGCCTATCTCTGACAGGAGCAAATGGAAACAACAAATTCAAATTCCTCTGGACATGCACATATATAAAAATTTCAGAGTTAAGATCCGCTTCAAATTAACAGTAAGGGGCAAAAAAATCTACTTACTGTTTGACCAGGTTCACCAGGTTCACCAGCAGGTCCTTGGAAACCTTGAGCACCCTAGAAAAAAATAAGTTTTCTTAATATCGTCTTATAGAATAAACTATTCATATTCTGTATGCGTATACTCCTTCTCACCACCCCAATGGCTGTAATCTGAATACACTTACAGGGGGTCCACTTGTTCCAGGTGCACCTCTGGGTCCCATTATACCCTAGAAAAAAATATATAAAAATCCTGTTAGCATAATAATAATAATACTTGGCCATTATCTAGCGCCTATCATTTGAGGAGCACAAAATATGTTACAAACATTAATTCATTAAGTCTGACAACATTCCTGAGGAGTAGGAAGGGATTACAGCTGCCATTGTGCAATAGTTGAAGCACAGAAGGTTAAAGTGATCTGTCTCAAGCATGCAGCCAGTCAAAGGCAGAGCTGGGAATAGAACCTAGGAGTCCCCTGACTCTTCTTCGCCTATTAGCTTACCACCAACTCAGCACAGTATATATGTGATATAATGAAACTATTAAAGGCACACTGCCAATGCTGACAAGTCATTAGACTTCCTTTCTTTTTGGCTTGTAGGTGAGGATATAAGTGCCCTCGCACACGGTCATTCCTCCTCTTGGGTTGCCTGCACTATTCTTGTGAGCAAACAGGCAGTGTGAAAGGATAATGACACTACTATGCACATCCCCCCAGTCATAAACAAACAACAAAAAAGCCTTTGTTAAAGAAAGTTACATTTTAGGGTCTCTCGACCTTGTCAGTGGCTCTTCAAAGGAAAGGAAGAGATATTGAACAATGAAATCTGATATCATTGCAGGGCAATAAGAGAAAAAAAATCTAGATAATGAATGATTATATATGTTACTATTACTATATACTGCAAAATCCCTGTCAGTGTACCACTTTGGAAAGTGACTCTGTATATACATTGCATATGTAATATTTTGCCAGATATAGAGAAATTATTTTCATTTAAATTCTCCATTTTGCATTTTTTGAACTTCACAAGGCAATCCATAAAGTGTTACTAGTTTATTCTGCTAAACTGATATTACGAAGCCAAATTATGCCCTTAAAGAGGATTGTTAATAGACTAACATGCAATCTGTTAACAATGGTTTTATATATTACAAAGCAAACACAGAAACAAATAAATAAGACACCCCAAAACTCATCTATCTAAACTTCCAACATACAAATTCATATTTTATAGGATCTAGAGTGCTTTATGTCATAACTGAAATAATTAAGTATTAACCTTATAATAATCTAAAATACGAATCTGGGAACATTTTTAGATATTCTGAGAGCAGGATGAAAAAATATATAACAGCGTTTCAGTACATCAGATTATGCAAAATTAGGGTCTCTTAAAAATGTGGACAGTCCTCATTAAAACTAATGAAAGCAACATATGCCTATTGAAAGAAGGACATTTCCCTATGGGATCGAGAGAAATCTTAGTGGGTGAGGAGACTGCACAAACTGTATTTTACAATACGTGATATGTTTACCAAAAGATGTAATGATTTGGAGTAAAATTCCTGCCATGTTGACTCCCTGAACAAGGCCTGTGGACTACTTGTCTCGCTTAAACCCTCAAAATAGGGTCTAAGTAGGACTGGAGTGATGCATGGGCCTTGCACTGGCTCTTTGCATGAAGGTGAATTACACACCCATTTTTTCCCTATTTTTTCTGTGGCATTTAGAAATAAAGATACAATATTTCCTACAAGCAGATTTTGCTAAAATTCAAGATCTAAGAGATTTCTCACTATGAAATCACACAAGTTTTGGATATGATTAAGGAGTCCATTCTTCTTGCCATGTGGGTGCATTATTCCCATTCATGCTAACAGAATTTACTCATGCAGTACCTGTAGATATAGTGGTTTCCATTAAAAATTCATCATTTACCCATAGTTACCTTTTCATGGAGACCATAGTTATTTACTCTCACATGATTGGTTATATACTGGTATATATATTGGTATGTGGGGGAGGTAGGAGTACAGTAAACACGGGCATAGCTCAGATTCATTTTGAATATGTATAAATTCCATTCTGTCCAATCTTTCAGTGCTTCTGCACTCAAAACTCCCATTGAAGATAAGGAAAGCTTTGAATGCAGATTGATTTTCACTGCGCTACATTTTTATTTAGGGCTGTCACAGGAGAAAAAAAGTATTAAACAACAAGGGGGCATAGGCTCATCTTTGTCCATGTAGCCCCAATAGTGTTGCTGGTATGGGGGGTGATATACTCTATTTGTTCACTCTTTGTGGAAAATTCTTTTGTTAGCCCTTTGCAACAGTGACAGCCACAGGGTGAATGAATCCCCATGTACATTTTCTCTCTTCCTCCCAGGGACAGAGACAGCCTCCATCTAGATGTTCAGCTGTAAATTGTTTTATCCCTCCCCAGAGTTATCACTGAAGCATTATGAGACACCCTGCTATTTGTTTCTCTATACGCTGTCAAAGTACATTTTTATGATCTATTAATAGAGTTCATATATAGCTGAGAAATCTGAACAATAGTGATACGTATTGGTTATGGAGGGAATGAGTGTAATTAATGCTATGACACGCAGGTGTGTCAACATCTTTTTATGAAAGTTTCATATCTAAGCTGTTTTCAGGAATGGAAACACTAATCAATCAGCCCCAATACTGAACAGTTTACCTGAACAAGTTGGGGACAAATTCTACACTGAATTACAACCATACACCCACTAGTAACTTCAATGGGGGTTGCACAGCTGTAAAATAGGGCAGAATTCAACTCACTGATTATATTTTAGGTACATTGACAACATTGATATTGTGTGTAGTCACTGTTCCTGGAGACAGAGACAAGTTCTACCTTAATTTACACCTCTGACTACAATAGAGTTACACAGATTTAATTGAAGGCAGAATTTAGCCCATATCCTGCTATCCACATACACATACAACATGATCCAAATGGAGAAGCAAATATACTTCTAAAATATCCATTTCTACAGATTTAGCAGTAGTAGGTAGATAAGGCTCTCCCTCAGGATAGGCTTTGCCTATATGTTTTTTATCAAATACAATTTGATCTTTACTCAATTCACTCTGTATTGTGAGAGCTATTTTATATGTCTGTTTTGCCTAATTACTCTTAGATGTGATAAGCATTGGAAGTAGATGACTCAAAATGGAATCCAGGGACCAAATTATGCCCTTATTAAACCTGTGCAATCCCAATGAAGTCAACGGAGTCATACAGTCGTGGGGGTAGAACTTGCTCCCACAAGTTTCTCATATCAATGATGCTGAGATGAATTAGCTGAGGTAGCTCTTACCAGGTCTATCTTGGTATGACTGAGATTAATTTCACTGTCAACTTTCTTCATTCTCAAAACACAATTTTCTTATGTCTCATTATGGGGAAAAGGATAGTGAATAAAATGAAACTATTACCTAAGATCAGACCATGAGCTTCCCTGTCAAAATAAGGGTCAGATTCTCAGTTGGTCTATATCGGCACAGCTCCACTGATGTCAAAGGAACTACACAGAGATACATCAGCAGAGGGTCTAGCTCTAAGAATGCACTGCAAACATTTTCAATGGTCCCACATCAAAAGGGCAGCAAAAACTTTACACTGACTCAGACTATGATATGATCATCACATCCATTTTAAACTATGTTGTCAGTTATGATGCAGGTAAGATATGTAGTAAGGATCCAAATGAAACATTTAATAAACATGATGTAAGCTGTCGAATGAAGGAGAATGTTGCCTACCATGGGTCCTTGGCCGTAATCAGCTGCTTTAGATGGATCATACTGAGCAGCGAAGTTCTGTAGGAGAGAAAATGTTTGAAATTCATATTATACATAAGAACTTCATTAATACTATCAGTCTTTTAGATCTATTTTATATGCTCAGATCACCTGATTTTTGTTATATTTGCTGGATAATGGTTTATTTTAACTTCCTTAAAATCTATAATAATGGCAACATTTATTGAGTCCATCTGTGTTTATTCAAAAAATTAAATTTTCCTTAGTAATAGTTATGCCATTTCACACAACTCTCTCAGCAACATTTGTTCAACAGTAGCTGAGAGAGACTAATAATATGAGTTGAAAATTCAGAACATAAAACTTATGCCCATTTAGAAGAGGTAAATATTCTTAAATCACCTAAATCATCTTGGACAAGTCTCAATTTGAGATACTATGTACATTTATCATTGCACCAACCAGCTGGACTTAATGCTCCACCCCTTTGAATCTGCAAGTGAGCTAGGGCTCTGCAGCTTTTCAGAAGATCTGAAGTGCCCCTACATTCTCAAGAAGACTATAGTGGACTTCATGAGTTTCCAGATTTTTATAGAAGGAGATGTTTTCCTTACTGAAATTTTTAGAGAGAAAATGCTCTGTCCAACTCTTAAACCAAGATGAAATAGAAAATATTCCTTTCATGCTTTGGGTTCCTTTTAAATTCCCATTATTTTAATGTAATATTTAAAATTTTAACTTAATATTTTTTAGCAGTTTTATGTCTGCTAAAAGGGAAAAAACAAACAAACCCATTTCTTTTCCCAGTGAAGATGAAAGTGGGTTAATCTCCCTGGTGCCCCAGGGTTTTATAGTGCCTGCCCATTAACACGTCATCTCTAAGACCTTATGCCTCTTATGAACTTAATGTAGGGTACTCAAAAGGTTAAACTGGCATAACAAGGCCTTCTGAGAAGAAGCGAAGCACACATTGTTTCTGCAAAAAGGGTAGAGGAGACACAATCCATTTAAGCTCTGAGACACTGATATTGTTCATACTGAAAAATTCAGAGGGAAGAAAGATATAGTTTATTAGCTAGTGAGAAGGAAAGAAGCTAGGACATACTCTCCAATATTCCCATATATGCAACTTCAACACTGACTGTTAACTTCTAAAAAGTTAGCACAGTCTGAACTTCCATTGCCATGTTGTTTCACCATAACAGTACATTTACTACGTTTTTATTTTATTTATATATAAATTATTATATTATATTATTTCTACACTTGGTTTCAGTACTAACTTCCCCTCATGTGAAGCCAACAGCAAAAAGTGCTGTCTTGTTTGCCCATGTGCTTAATCAGTATGGATTTCATTTAAGTTAATTCCTGAATAACAAAAATATGTCATGGGTGCACAGATCTGAGATGCTCAGACAAGAAAAAAAATAGCATTAGGGAATCAAGGAGTTAATTCTCCTCTTCATGCATGTGCTAAGCACCCTACTGACATTTATATGGGTCCCAAATTCATCATGGGAAATACACCCCTCGAAGAACATTTCAATGAAATGGAATTAAGAATCCCATCCCATTCCAAGTCCAACAGAATGTTTTCTCCTATTCTAAAGTGAAATGCCTTTATTTTCTGATAGATGTATATTTAATCAACAGATGCTACAATGCATGGATGATCAGTTTCAGTAATTAAAATTTGGATGTCTTACTCCGCCAAGACCTGGAGGACCAGGGAGGCCTGGTGGCCCTGGTGGACCATCTTCACCATCTCTGCCTGGTATACCTGGTAGACCCTAGAGTCAAAAAGATGAAAATGAAGTGAATGTTAGGAGTAGTTGAAGAAGATTCTGAACTTGTGAAATCAGAGGTAAGAAAGAAGCTAGGACATACTCTCCAACATTCCCATATATGCAACTTCAACACTGACTGTTAACTTCTAAAAAGTTAGCACAGTCTGAACTTCCATTGCCATATTGTTTCACCATAAGAGTACGTTTACTATGTTTTAGAGCATCAGAGGCTCTTTGGAGCTTTTATTAGATCCATGCTCTCAAAAATGGCTGTTAAATTGGGATGTTCAATTTTGAAGTACTGTCAAATTTTGTACCTGCAATTTGCATACACAGGGCCTGATTCTGCCACACTTATTCACACTAAGTAGCACTAAGGGGATATTAAAAGTGAGTATGGGCAGCTGACACTGGCATAGTTATTTTTGTGCCCAAATGTCACAAATTAAGTCTTCTGCAGGTACAAATAACTGGGCATGCAACAACTGTGGGCACAAATGAGCGGGTGTACAAAACAGCCCCTGAAAACTGGGGGGAAGTCAGCTGAGGCTTGCTGGGCAGAACCCTCCACTGGTGTAAATCAGCATAGCTTCATTACACTCAATGCAATGAGACCAATTTACATGAGCAGTGGATCTGGCCCAATATAGTTACAAATCTGATGACAGAAGCAAAACAGAGTGCTGTAAAGATTTTCTGTTCTGTCCCTCTACCACAATTGACGATACTCTTCATTTGCTATAATTGCTTGAAACTGCATATGCACAACCAACTTGTGAGCCAAATCTATCCTCAGTTACACCCATGCAGCCCCGCTACTTTGTGCCTTCAGTTACAGGTGTGATTGAGGACAGCATTTAGTTTACTCTGTATTTTGGGCCCAAACTGTTCTCCAAATGAAATCCGTGGTAAAACTCCCATTGACTTCAGCTGGAGCAAGACTGGGACCACTGTACACACGCACACACACTACTATATATTGTTACAATACGGAAAATAATTCTTAAATGGATTTAGATAGAAGTAAATAGTGTAAAGCAAATATACAGCCACAAGTATATGTATTCTTCTTAATGGTTTACAGTGTGGGTGTTAAAGCTTGTAAGTGATCATTACACAAAATATGCACCATATCATGGAATTTCCATGATATAAAATGATGCAAAACCACAGCCATCACTACTGCACCTTGTGAAGATAAAAAATATGCCTCCCAAAAAAACTGCTGCGTGACACCAAAGCAAGCCAGAAAAAGAAAATGGATGTAAATAATAGGAGTATGTGAAAGTTGTAATTAGATATTTAACTATCTTCACTTACAGTTACATAAACAAAATCCATGAATGAATACCTCCTTCTCATTGACCAGTAGAATATACACAAGATACATTTGCCTACAAAAGTTTTTTCACCACGTATATTTGATTTACGATAAGTGAAAGCTTCTCAGGGCAGGCTTTGTCTATTCTGCTTAGTGTTTTGCATAGTTTTATCTTTACCCAATGCTTTGAACCAGCTCTGAATCTGCACCTTTCTGCGTCAGCTTTTCTTCTCCACTTTCATGTCACCGGCCTCCACTGTGTACAGTTGGAAATTATTCTTCAGACTATTGACCAAAGGTACTAGGCCAAGTTCTGAACTCACACCTGGGCAGCCCCAGCACCTTAACCAGGCTGCACAAATGTCACTTGGGGCAGAATCTGGTCTGCCATGTAATTTACCTTTTATAAAAGTGCGTACACAAAACTCTCACAAGTGAATTTATTTCATTACTTGTGCTTTAATGTAGTTGGTTCTTTCCTATTGGTCCTCCAAAGACAATTGTTCTAACATAAATAGTTGAACAACAATCATGGTTCCTTACCCTTTCTCCTGGTGGCCCTCTGTCTCCTCTGGGACCCTGCAGAAAGAAAAAGAAAACAATGTAATTTGCCATGCAGTCCTCCAGCAAAATATATGAACACATAAACAAATTGCATTGTTTAGAATAATCAATTTGTGAAAGTGTGACAAAACTACTATATTATATATGCCACTTATAGTTACTTTGATAGATATAACTGATCTTTTCCCTATAACTTATTAAGAAGGAGGAGTAGGCTATAACAATATTTTAGTTAGATAAGCACAGAATAGTCTGTGGAAACACATCCATGTAAAGTTTATTTTTGTTTTACTCCACACTGAATAATTAGCACTAATATGTTATTTATTTCTAAAAATAACATGTATTTTCTCCATCATTATAGACCTGAATAGGTGTCACTGTTGTGTAAAATGTGTATTTGTCATCAATTGCTTTCTGAAATGTTCTCAAGAATATAACTTAGTTCTCTGTGTTCACAATTCTTCTCTCAGGTAAACCAGTGTAAATCCAGAATCTATGTTTACACTAGTGTAAATATAGCCCAACAGCTATTTTCTTCTTTTTACTGTCTAATAATTTAAGTGCTAAATTGGTCAAGTGTCTGAAAGATAGGTTAAATATGTTTCTTTTCAACCTATATCCAACAAAATGTTAGTTTGTCTGTGAAAATTTCATCAAAATTCTTAAACAAACAATAATAAATAATAATAACAATGCTTACCCTCCGCCCTGCAGTTGCCTAAAAAGGAATGAATTATAACAAAACTGAAATTAATAACAGTTCTATCGCAAACCCTATTAAATTACTATAATATACAAACACAGAGATTCAGCCTCTTAAATCAAGTTCTATATTTTGTAATTGCTCAAAAATCTGTATTTGTGAAATTGCTCTAAAATCTAGGAGAAATTATGTATATTGTACACATTATGTTAGATTATTAATGCATACAGCTATCTGTTAAAAACTTACATATAAAATTGGCTAGTTTATATTTACCACAGCATGCAAACAAGGTATAAATAAAAGCACACCTGTATTCATTCATAATCCTTTTGATTAAACAATGTTTATAGAGATACTTAAGCTTTAAAGTATAATAATCTCCAACCCAAGGGCCATGTATAATATCCAAATGTCACAGCTATGTTATTTCCTCTTTATATTATTTTCACCTACGAAGGCAGTCTCTTAAAAAAGCCCTGCCCATTTGGAAATTGGGGTGGGCACATTTCTAGACAGTCCCTATAGCACTTAATGATTGCTAGCTTTTCCATGATCATCTTGGGAATTAAGGTAAGTGAATGCCAATTCTGAAGAAAAAAGGTGCCTAGCTTGTTAGTTAAGGGTGAATATTGTATATTGAATGAAATTATACTGACCTCATTTGCTGGAAAAAGAAGGAAAAAGAAGAAAAAATAGATTGTAGGTTACAATAGCTTTAAAAAGCTTAAATTTCAATGCTTGTAAAATACCCCAACATTTAATTAAGATTATTAAAATGTTAGTTTACAGTAGTAATTACTGAGATTTTATGTGGAGAAACAGATTGACTAAGGAAATTAAATACAGAACTACATTTTATCTTGTAAGACTTGGATGTACTATGTGGACCTGATCCTGCAGCGCTTTCTCAGGAAAATCTCCCATCAAAATAACAACTGGGCCTAGGGACGGGGGGAGAGGGAGGAAGGGGGAGGAGAAGGAGAGGAGAGCGCGCGTGCGTGAGACATAGAGACAGACAGGGGGACAAATCCAGCAACACTGATGCATGTAAAGATCTTGATTGAAAGGAATAATTTTCCATTTTCTTGTAAATGGCTCCAAGCTCATTTTTGTGAAGTTGGGGGAGGGGCCTACTTCAACTCATCAATATTTCTGATATGAGAATTCTAAACACAATGACTACAGATACATTGTATAGGAAAGTAATTAGATTAGCCATCAAATGATAAATAACTTTCTTTATGGACACTTTTGTTATTTAATACTACATAACAAATTGTTCAAGGGTGCTTTTTAGTGCTTTGAATCTCCTAAATGAAAAATCTATAAAATTATGTTTTTCTCATTTTATTTAATTTTTGCAGACTGCAAGCAATTTAGTCAAAACATGTCTATTTTGGCTCAAAATTGAGCAAGATAATCTGTACTTTACACTATATTTCGACCACACTGAATTGATATGTTTAAAACTTGAGTGTGCGTCTTTTAAATTTTCAGTTGGGCAATTTATTAGGATCAAGACCAATGCCAGTGGTTGGTACAGTTTAACAGAAAGATGACTGGCATAATCCAATATACAGAATATTGATTTGTAAAACATATTATTAAAACATCAGTTTGGTGTGCTCCCAAATACCAAACTGAATTCTAGTTATCTAAACTAGCAGTTTAATATAAAAATGTAAAACTTTGGGTGTTAAATGATAATTATTTCAGGTTAAATTCTCTCCTTATTATCCTTTTGGAAAAGGTCATATGTTCTTAAGTTTAGGGTTGACCGACATGATGGAATTCCCCCATGAATCCCCTTCATTTTTGGAAGGTCTCTGTCTCTCTTAGAATGTTACTGGAATTGCAAAATGTGTTACTATTTCTTCTTACCACCAGAGGGAGAAAAATGTCTATGTTTAGCCTCAGCCAGGGAGTGGTGAGGGTCAAATTGATAATAAGTAGATAGTGGAAGAGAGGAAGCCAGTATGGTCGTAAAGATATTACAGTGATAACTTTTTACTTCTTTAGGTCCTTTTCTGTGCTCTAGACAATCAGTTATTCAACACTGGTCACCATCGTAAAGTCATTGCTGACTTAATGCTCTTGACAGATCAACCATCTATCAGAAAGGATGTCATTGAGTAAAAGCATCATCTGTAGAACGAACAGAGTTTCCTTGTGTGTAACATATTGGATATTTATGGGGAAATATATGGGAATATTGTGTTCAAAAGCTTACTTATGGCATCCATGTGCCATTTGAAGGAATACAGCTGGCACAGATGTATTCAGCCAGTTAGATCATTTGTCTAGAGATGCTTCCACATGGGCTCTACGCGCAGCTCATTTTTATAGAAAGTCATGTAAAGGAACAAGTGTTCCATGTGCAAATGAATTTCAAATGTTGCATTAAAGCAAAGGGACTCTTGAATTTCTCATTCAGTTAAGAGGCAAGACTTGTTAAGACCTCTAAAGTCTGGTTTTAAAGTTTACCAGAAGGGGGCACTATTCCTGAGTTAAGTGAGCGTGCGAGAGAAGAGCTCAGCGTCTCCATAAGGCAATACTCGGCATATTACTTCACTTTTTACACACTAGCTCAAGAAACATTATTTTTTCACAGTCAGATTTTTTTCCTAACAAGTGTTTTCTTTCTTTCTCCAAAGGTACGATTTTAAATTTTCTAGAAAACAACCAGCCAACCCCCGAGAGATCTGAACTTTAATAACTTCTCCTTTTGAGGCTGGATCTAATAAACTGACAGGTTTCAGAAACTGAGACACTCTCCATTCTTTTCCAGAGTAAATCCATCCCTACTCCACAGTCTTTGAGACGGGGTCCCCTGCACTACTCGTTTCCTCCCTCCAGAGGGCGCCACTTGGGCAGAAGCCAGCAGCAGCCGCCCAGACAAAGCTGTACAACGCCCTAACGTTACTGTTCTTGCAAGGAGAGGGTAAGCTGTTGCTTTCCAACCCCTCCCCCTCACGGACCTTTTAAAAAGTTAGTCTGAAGTGCTACACAAGTATAATTTTAGTGCAGCTAGGAGGATTGCTCTGCCTCCTATAAATATCCCTCTGCTAGGAGTTGAAACATCTGCTCACAAATGAAGACTTTCCATTCGCCTTTGGAAAACACCATCTTCTTTAAGGAGAAAGAGGGAGCGTGGGGATTCTTTGGCCTCCTGCCATCCTCAGACAGAAAAAGAGCGGGGTGTTTTTTGGTGTTTTGTTTTTTTTAAGTGAAAATCCGAACTGGGCGGACAATCTGCACTGGCTCAGTGGCAATGACATTAGATGCAGGCTGTATAGCTCCACACTGACAGACCCCCCCCCCCCCCTCCTCACCCTCAAAGGACAAGAAGTCTAGGGAGAGTGGGGAGTCTAAGGACACCCCTTCCCCCCAAAAAGAGACCTCCCCACACCGCAAACAAGCCGAAAGCACTTACATTGACATGTTGCTAGGTATGAAGTTACTGCGAGCAGCAACAAAATCCGTGTATCCACAAAGCTGAGCATGTCTAGTTGCTAGACATGCAGACTCCTTGTGTTGCAGAGCCCCTGGTCGGTGGTTAGATATTACCTATGGGACGCAGGCATACAGTCGTGGCGAGTAACTCCAAACTTAGCAGAAACCTGCTGCCCGGGATGCTAAAATAATAAAGCCCCGCTCGGCCGTATTTATACGGCAGGAGGTTCCCTGGGCTGGCGGGTCCCCGAACGCCTCGCAGCCAATGGCGGAGCAGCAGCCCTGGGGGCCCTGCGAGGCTCCCAGGCCGTCACGTGCTCCTTATCTCCGACCTGCCCCGGCAGCTCCGGCGGCAGCTGGGGAGGCCGGAGCGAGGGCGGGGCAGAGGGCTGGAGGGGGTGCGCGTGAGGGGTGGGGTGGTGGGGGGGGGGGCAAATTGGTTCCATTCTTCGTGAGGACGTGGCCACTTTGAGGCTTTAAAAAGGAAAATCTGACTCGCTGTCTGGTTTGGCTTCCCCGTTGGGGGTGGGAGGTCCGGGGGGCGGCTGGGAGCTGCCAGCCTGCTCGGGAGCTTTCGAGCTGCCGCCGGGAAGCTGCTTTCAAAGCAGGAGCTGTCCAGGTCCTGCGATACCTCGCGCCCTGCCCGGCTCAAGGTGGGTGGGGAAGGAGGAAGCAGCGAGGGCGACTGGGGAACGCTGGATCGGGCTGGAGCCTGGTGTGGGTTTGCTCCCTAGGCTCCCACACTGTAGCAGCACAAGCCAAACCCTCCTACCGACCCCATCAGATCCAGATCCCCATGCGTCCCCGCACTACTGCACATCAGACCCCTGATCCGACGCCTTAAGCCAGCCCCCCCCCCATCAATAAAGCACTGGGGTAGGTGCCCTGCTTCCCGCTGCCTGGCACAGGCTGGCAACCAGTCCCAGCAGCACCTCGCCTGCATCTGTTCAAAGCAGAATTCATTTCCAGATGAGCCTGCTTCTGTCCCAGGCGGGAACGCCAGCCAGGACTCGGGCTTCCAGTGTGTTCTCCTCCCTTGTTTTTTGCAGCGGGTCCGGTAACGGGTCCTGCCGCATTCCCACCCCGCTGACAATCTCTGTGCCACCCTCAGGCCCCCGGAGAGCACGGAGAGGAGTGGGAGTTTGCGTGGGTGCACAGTTGTCTGAGTGGTTAGCAAAGAAGAAACACAGTCTGAGCAATGGTCCGAGCGGTTCGTTAGCAGCGCCTAGCCAGCAAAAGGCAGCTCTTAACGTCTTCCGGAGCGAGCTACATCGATGTTAACGATATTAACAGAGTATCTATCTATCTATCTATCTATCTATCTATCTATCTATCTATCTATCTATCGTGCTCCATCGTTCCTGTCTGTGCTACCTGGCTTCCCCCCCCCCCCCAAGCCTCATGTGCCCCCTTTCATCTGGGACAGAAATCCAACTGATCAAAGATGTCACATATTTACGACCCGTTTCAATTAAGCGCCCTGAGCCTGGGTCCCGGACATGCCTGCTCCCTCACCGCCTAGTCCCCCCCGTTCCTTTCCACCCCTGCCAGCTTCAGGGCTCTGGCTGGCTCCCAGGGCAAGACACAAGCAGGGCGCGGGACGCTAGGAGATGCGCTTTCCCCAGTGCCAGTCTCCTACAGTGCCAGATTTCCTACGCCACGGCCTCAGCCAGAGGCACTTGGGGTTAAATCCGCCTCCAGCATCCGCATCCCCCGGCTCGCTTGCCTCTTCCCCTGCAGCAGGCGGCCCCGCTCGCTGCGATTTGCGGTGGCTGACAGGGAAGCTGACGTGGTCATCCCCAAGCGCCAAGAGTGGGTTTCCAACAGCCCAGGTCTGCCTGCCCGCGCTGCCCTGGCCTGAGACAGCTGCAGGTAGCTCAGGGTGCAGCCCGAGCTGCCTCCCGCGGAGCAGTTCCCAACCCCCCTCCCGTAAGTTGCTTCCCTTCCTCAAAACCCGAAGCTTCATTAAAAGGAGCCAAGAGCAGAAGAGACGCGGTTAATTGCAAAGGCAACTAGCCTCGGGGGGTTGGGATCCAGGCCTGCCCCAGCTCTCAGCAGCGGAAGGGGCGAGAAAGGGGCCTGCGGGCTGCAGTTGCTCACAACTTCTTTCCCCCCTCCGCTGCTTTTTTTGTTTGTTTGTTTGTTTGTTGCAAGGCAGAGACATTCCTGCTCAGACACACGAACTAGCAGCAACAGGTCCCCGCTTTTCCAAAAGGCTGCCGTGTACATGGGGCAGGGCAGCCGCGACTCCCGGGGAAGGCAGCTCAGCGGAGCCCAGGGCAGAGGGAAACAGCTGTTTTTGGGAGATGCTAACTCTGCGCACTGGAGAGGCACGTCTGCTCTTTGAGCTCTTGTTTTCCCTCCCTTGCTGAAATGTTTCCGGTCAGATTTTAGGTGTATATTGAAGCGCCACTGGGTTCGGCCAGGTGCCGGGTAGTGGGAAAATGGGAGCTGCTGCAGGCACTGGAAACTGGCAGAAAGCAGCTCGCTTTGTACTGGACCCAGCAGCATGGGAAGTGTAACGGGCACGCCACGCTGACTCAGCCGCTAACGCCACGTTGTTTTATTTGAAGTGCTCGATGCCGGTAGCGTTACCAGAACCGATCAAAGGAGAAATTAGTGACCCCTCGCTCATCGCTGTGGACGTGTGTTTATATCCAGACCAATACTCAGTCCTGGTATGGGACTTGTACTAATAAAGAAGAACAGTGCCGCTAAAACATCCATCACAAACAAACCTTCATACTCTTACCTAAAACATCTAATTATACCTATTCTGGCTAAAGGCTAGCTTGAAATTCATTTGACAAAATACACCCTACCACACGACAGCAGGGCTGCTGGAAAATTTAGTACAGAGGAGGTGCTGAGATCTTTTTAACCAAAGTGTAAACCCTAGATGATGGAATACACTTCAAGCCCCCAACACTCCTCCTTCCAGCACCTATACCAGACAAACAGAATATAATACAGTAATAAAACAACAATACTTAGCATAAAACCTTAAATGCTATCCGCAGTCTGTGTATTTCATGTGTGTGATAGTGACTGAAACACCATATGACAAAAAAAGAGAACCTAGCTAACATATTTCATCCCATTATATTTAAATTTTATTCTCACGTACACCAGGGTAAATCCAAAGTGACTCCACTGGGTCTAAATGTAAGGGGACTGTTGCCCCCTTACTAACATTCAGTGGGGGAGTTTTAGTTGCTAGCTCCCAGTACTAAAAGGGAGAAGGGTCTGTGGGAAACCAGGACCCTGAGACTGACAGTCCCCAGGAACAATGGGGAGAGGCCAATGCTCCAGGTCAGCCTGAATGACAGGGCGGGCAGGCTAATCAGGGAGGCCAGGGAGGTCCCGTCTTCTGTGTGAGCTGGATTTAGCTGGGTCAGACAGAGTGGGGGCCAAGCTAAGGAGAAAGCAGGGTCCCAAGCTGAGCTGTGGAGCAGAGCTGTGCCAGATCCAGAGGGGCCAGAAAAGCAGCCCAGGAAGCAGGTCAGTGCTGGGAGCAGAGTCACAGAAGCAGCCTGCAGAGCAGACCTGTCCTGGAAGCAGAGCTGGAGCAACCAGAGACAGAGGGGCCAAAGAAGCAGCCCAGGGAGCTGGAGGCAGAGCAGCAGCAGCAGTGCAGAGACAGAGTGGTGCAGCTGGGGCTAGAGCAGTCCGGAGCTGGGTGCGGTGAGCAGCTGGGGAGACCGAGGGGGACCCTGGGCAGCGGGCCCAGCACAGGGAGACGCCTCAGCCAAGAGGCTCTGCAGGCCAGGCTTGGATCGTAACCCCTACAAGGCGGGGGCGACACTGGGAAGAAGGGTCCTACCACTTAGAGCCTGAGAGCGTGTGGCCACCACCAGAGCAAGTGTCCAACCCACAGCATCCCTGCAGCAAAGCCAGGGTCTGAGAAGGCGGCCTGGGACTTACAAGGAACAGACTGTGAACTGCCCTGACATTCCAGAGACACTGTTTGTGATGTTCCCTGCCACAGAGCGGGTTGATGTGTTTCCTTTAACCTTTCCCATTTCCTTATTCTTTTTAGAATTAATTGTTGATTAAATAACTTGCATTTGCTTTAACTTGTATGTAATGGTCAGTGGGTCAGAGAAGTGCCCAGTGCAGAAAGAGTACCCCGGAGTGGGGACACCCTAGCCCCTGTCCTAGGTAACCACAGCAGGGTTGGGGGTCGAGCCCCCCAGGAATCCTGGGCCCAGCCTTGTTGGGGTTACGAGGACTCTACCAGACAGGAGAGTGGAAGGGGAGTCCTCAAGGGCAGGGAGGCCACTGGGTAAAGGAAGTGGGAGCGAGGACTCAGATCCTTTCGCTAGCCCACTTCACCGGGGTAGTGCAGAAGCCAGGAAAGTCTCCCACAATAGCGGGACTATTCCCCCACTTACACAAAGAAGTTGAAAAACAAGGCATGAAAGAAGACCCAAGAGACAGAATTTTTCTTAACATTAAAAATATAATTTTGACTCTAAATGACTTCAGTGGGAGCATAAATCACTATACACTGAACAGGTGGGTTGAATCTGTTCAAATGAAGTAATTTCTAATCCATCTGAATTATTTCAAATAAAGGTGGCCTGTCTAGTGTATTAAAGGCCTAGGAGGACACATCCAACATGGGGTTCTGTGCTGGTGCAGAAGTCCAGTGACATGGAGCAGCTTGCAGGATTGGGATTAAAATGCCAAATTCCATATCGGCCAGCATCTTGTGGGGTAAAGAAAAGCAGAATCTATATTTATATAAATTATTGTCTGATTTGCAGAGGTTCCTCCATGATGTGGGGGAAGGTTCACGGGCCCATTTCCACCACCATTCACAAAACATCTACATCAGCCTGTCCTTGCTTTGGTGACAGGGATTTTTCACCTCCCACCCTTTCAGATCTGAGTAGGGATGCAGGGGGAAGGAGCGGGAATGACATCATTGCCAGTGCTTCATCACCGCACGTGAGCTGTAAAGTCAGCAGGGAGCAACAGCTCCCAGGGTGTGAGACAGGAGTGCTCCAGTCCTTTGCATACAGAGGAGAGGGAAATGGAGAAACCTCTTACATAAGCTGAGGAAAGAAGTGGTCTTTTAGCAAGTGTAGTAGCTCTGATTGGCTGTCCTTCCCTAGGAGGAAGGGCAACCAATCAGCATAGCGTTTCCCTACTCACTGGTGGGTTTCTCCATCAGACCCATAGCAGGTTTGGAAAAAC